AGACACCCAGGCTGCCTCTACATCTTGGCCATTATAAACAATGCTGCAATGAACATAGGGATGCACACGTCCCCTCGAAGTAGCGTTTTGGGTTTCTTTAGATAAATACTATGAAGTGGGATTATGGGGTCTTTCATTGTCTCTTATTGCCTTTGCTTTAAAGTCTGTTTTGTCTGGTGAGTATTGCTACCCCAGCTTTTTTTTTTTTTTTCATTCATTTCCATTTTCATGAAATAACTTTTTCCATCCCTTTACTTTCTGTCTGTGTGTGTCAATCTGAAGTGAGTCTCTTGTAGGCAGCATAGGTAAGAGTTTTGTTTTATCCATTCAGCCCTCCTGTGTATTCTCATTGGAATATTTAATCCATTTACATTGAAAGTAATTGTTGATAATGTAGTTATTACCATTTTTTCATAATTTTGATTTTTTTTTTCCATCTTAAGTCCCTCTAACATTCCTTTTAATACTGGTTTGGGGGTGATGAACTCCTTTATCTTTTTCTTGTCTGGGAAGCTCTTTATCTGTCCTTCGATTCTAAATGATAGCCTTGCTGGGTAACCTTGCTTGTAGGTCCTTGCTTTTCATCACGTTGAAATTTCCTGCCATTCTTTTCTGGCCTGCAAAGTTTCTGTTCAGATATCAGCTAACAATTTTATGGGAGCTCCCTTATAAGTTACTAGTTGCCTTTCTCTTGCTGCTTTTAGGATTCTTTCTTGGTCTTTAACTTTTGCCATTCTAATTCTAATGTGTCTTGGTGTGAGCCTGTTTGGGTTCATCCTGTTTGGGACTCTGCACTTCCTGGATTTGTATGTCTATTTTCTTCCCTAGGTTAGAAAAGTTTTCAGTCATTATTTCTTCAAATCGGTTCTCAATCCCTTGCTTTCTCTCTTCTTCAGGTACCCCTATGATGTGAATGTTGTTATGTTTGATGCTGTCCCAGAGGTCTCTTAAATTATCCTCATTATTTGGATTCGTTTCTTTTTGCTGTTCCAATTGGGTTATTATGCTACCTTGTCTTCCAAATTGCTGATTCGATCCTCTGCATCATCTACTCTGCTGGTGATTCCTTCCAGTGCATTCTTCATTTCAGTTATTGTGTTCTTCACTTCTGTTCGGTTCGTTTTTATGGTTTCTATGTCCTTTTTATGCTTGCTATCTCCTTGTTAAAGTTCTAAGTTCCTTGAGCATCCTTATAACCATTTTTTTTTAACTCTATATCTGGTAGGTTGCTTGCCTCCATTTCATTGAGTTCTTTTTCTGGCGTTTTCTCCTGTTCTATCATTTGTGACGCATTTCTTTGTTTTCTTATTTTGGCTGCCTGTGTTTGTTTCCATGCATTAGGTAGATCTGCTATGTCTCCCAGTCTTGGCTGGGTGGTCTTTTATAGAAGGTGTCCTGTGGGGCCCAGTGGCACAGTCTCCCTGGTGACCTACTCCAGGTGCTCTAGGACTGTCCCTTGTGTGGGGTTGTGTGTGCTCTCCTATTATAGCTAAGCCTTGATTGCTATTGGCACATTGGTGGATGGAATTGACCCTCAAGCTGATTAGCTGTGGGGTTTGGCCACGTCCACAGCTTATGGGCTGCTGTGCGGGGGCTTATTCCACAAAGCAGGATTCGCCCCAGCCAGCTCTAATGCCTGTTTGGACCACTCTTTGTAGGGCTAATTGGGTGGTGTTCTGCGGTTGCCTGAAGCCCACCTCCAAGTATGTTGGTTCTGGGCCTCTTGGGAGGGGCTCCAGTGCAGGCCCAGGTCAGCCACTGCCTGTAACCAGCCAGGGACTACCTGGTAGGAGCTACAAAATGATCCGCAGTTGTTCTGTGCCTGTGCTAAACCTAGAGGCACATGGGAGAGGTCACGCTGTGAATCGAGGACAGCTGACACCAGTATGAGGCTTGGGGGGTAACTCAACAAATGCTAGGACACCTGGAGGCCTACTGCCACCTGCCAGTTTCCTTAAGGTTCAGCCACTGGTAAAACCTCATGCAGTACATGAGTTGAGTGAGGCAGGGTCTTAGGGAGTCACTCGAGTGTGAAGGGCTGTGGTCACCAGGTTAACGTAGACTCTGGTTTGGTCCCAGTGCTGAGCCTGGAGCTACTCAGCAAAAGTCTCAGAGTGCACCAAGGTCAGTTGGTGCCCGCCAGGGGCCCGTGGTCTCCAATAGTTTTCCAAGAAAGAGTGCAATGTGGGAAGGGCTGGCTGCTTGTGGAGAAAGTGCTTGCACCTGTGATCAAATTGGGTGGGGCAGGGTCCCAGCTGAGTCAGCAGGGCAGAGCAGCAGAGCTCACCAGGCCAATCTGATTCAGATTTGGCCGTAAACATAGGGTGTGGGCCTAACATTGGAAAGATGGCACCCACCTGCTGGCTGCTTGGGAGGACCCCCTCACCACGAAATTGCCAACTGTCCTCCAGTTCTCCCCCCAAAGTCACACACCTGTCTGCTCCCCATATGTCTCTGAGGCCGAGTCACTGTCCCTGCGCTGGAGCCCAAGGTGAGTGCCTGTGAGTCTGTGCGGGTCAAGAGGACATCTGGGTTTCCCGCAGCCTTCTGTCCCACCTGGATGGTCAGAATCCCGTTTTTCACAGCCAGATATTGTGGGGGCTCCTCTTCCCAGCACCAGGACTCCGGGCTGGGGAGTCTGGTGTGAAGGGCTGGCGTTACTCGCTCCTCCAGAGCTGTATACACCTCCTGATACTCAACCGCCAAACAGGTTTGGGGCCCGTTCTGCTTTTCTGCCCCTCCTGTCAGTCCCTACATGGCTTCTTTACGTTTTTACTTAAGACTTCTGTTTGACTAGACTTCAGATGGTTCTCCAGGTTGATTGTTCTGTAATTTGGTTGTAATTTTAATGTGTTCACGGATGGATGCAGGCACAGTGTTTATCTACTCCGCCATCTTGGATCTCTATTTTTTGGAAGTTCTCTAAGTGTTGGAACCTAACCTTGTCCCTTATGTGGCACAAGAAATATGTGTCTCTATCTGTCGCCCCAGCCTTTTCCACATGGAATGGCTTCACTTCTTCATCAAATAGTTTTCTGTTCCTTCCAACAGAATTTTCTTCACTGAGTCTTATAATCTGTATTTGACCTCCAAACTATAGGCATTCTTCCTCCAGTGCTGACTGCACATTTCTTTTAATGCGGGCTAATATTAAAATAGCTGATTTCATGGCACTTATAGTTTAATTTTGTATTTTTTTAAATCATCATTCAAACAAGAATACCCAGAACTTCCTTTATCTTAAGGTGGTAGTAGTCAGCCATTAACAAAGTGGGCTACCTTAAAAACTCACACTAGCTATAGACTGGGTAAGGACTATTTTCTCAAGTCTTTTTTTAAAATAAAGAATAAATTAGTTACTCTTTGGTACTAACAGCTTATCAATTCAGTTTTCTCCTTAAGCATTGTCATCAGAGCCTCTTATATGTTCAGGACCTCTTATTTTTTTATTATATTTTTAAAGATTTTATTGGGGAATTGGGTAAGGGGAACAGTGTTAGGGAATCGGGGAAAGGGAACAGACAAGTTGTTGTCCTTTGGTTCTTCAATCTAGTTGTGGAGGACATCGCTTCACTGGCCCATGTTGGTATTGTGATTATTGCGCTCTTCCTGGGTGAGGCAGATGGTTGCCGATCATTGGATGGCCGCTCATGCCGGCTGCCAGCCACTCATGGTAGCTTACAGCAGCCCCGCTGCAGCCTACACCATCACCGGTGACTCATGGCAGCCCAGCTCCAGGTCAAGCTGTTGTTCACCATCTTAGCTGTAGGGGGCATAGTGTCACTGGCCCTCATATGGGATCCCAACTGGGGCCCTGCTGCTCAGAGCTGGCGTCCCAAGCCAGCTCTTAATCAACGTGCCACTCAGCTGGCCCAGGACCTCTTAAAAGGCACCTGAACTAATATCACCTGATATTAGAAATTTACCAGAATACAATAAGAATTAAATTAGAGTATGATCTATGAAATCTTAGAGAGGAGTTTTTAGAATTTTTATTAGATGCCCAGGGGGCTTTCAGAGTACTTTTGGGATTCTTCAACACAATCAGGTATAATGAAATTAAATAGCCATTCATGTTAGGACACATCTGACTATTTATAGTCAATCCACCATGCATATGGAGAGCTACTAGTTAGAAGGCAAATGTGAGTCTTCAACCTTAAGACCTACAACATCAGGATACAAGGGAAGAACAACACACGCCCAGAGTCCATAAACGACCATAGTTAACACCTCTCAAAGACTTTGTATAGGTCGGGCAGGTTAGCAAGCTGCAGGATGTTTCCATCTTCTGTGAAATGTTTAGGAGGCAGAAGGTGTGAGCGGAAGGCTTTGTAGATAATGTGTTCCACAGTCCACTTCCAGGGGTTTGGAGCGGGGCCAGGCACTTCACTCTGGAAAAGACATGTTTGAGGTCATCCCAACATACACTGGCTTCCTGGCGGACGTGCACTGGGCCGGGGAAGTGTCAGTAGCTTAGAACGGGCTGTGTTACCTAACGCTTGTGAAGCATCCTCTAGGCCAGCCTCACAGGGATCCTATAGGCCTCACCATAAGATGCGATGGGGGAAAAGAAGCCATGGCTGTCATGATACTTTCTTCCCTAGAACCTCCGTTTCCATTCAGGGAGAATGTGTTTACTGTGGCAGGATCTAACATAATGTCTGATCTTGACTATGATGTTTGGATAGCAATAGTAGGAAGTAAATTTCTAATTCATTGCTAAAGTTGGGGATCTTAATGTAACTGTTTTCCAAAAAGCGCCACAGGCAAGAAATGAAAAATAATGAGGATTGATGTGTTCCACCCTTCCTCTCCTACAGCTGAGCCTTCGCTGTCTCAGGTACAAAAAACTGTTCTTTCTCATTCATCCTTTCCTTGAAGTAAATGGTTCCAATCAAATGAGATGCTCAGCAGTTTGAGCTTCCTCCACTGGAATGAGACATTCCCTAGGGGCTTTGGCCAATAGGACTTAGGACTGAATCTGCTCCAACACGTACAAGCTCTGGGGACCCTTGAGTATATACCAACTGTCCCTTAGTTTCCTATGAAACTGGAGCATATCACTTCACCTCAGAGGACGACTATAAATACTCACCAAGGATACTTCTGTATGGAAAGTTGCTAACCCTTTGATTCTTAAGACTATTTTGATCCCCAACGTCTCCACCCAACGAAACCCTCCCAAATAGTTGATCAAAAAGCACTGTCATCTAATTGGAAAAAGTGACATGGAAACACGAGGAACCTAGGCCCTTTTTGTGTCAAGCTGATCTTCCGTAAGAAGAGGGGGATCTCTCAGTACAGGCTTGTTCTCCTCGCAAAGCAGTGCTCGGATGTAAACTAAGGCAGAAGCCGAAAGAGCCTGGGGAGACCAGCCCAACATCTGAAGCCTGTGGCTACACTTAAGGAACAACATTGGGAGACACGGACCTATTAGCCCTGGACCAGCGGTTCTCAACCTTCCTAATGCCGCGACCCCTGAATACAGTTCCTCATGTTGTGGTGACCCCCAACCATAAAATTATTTTCGTTGCTACTCTATAACTGTAATTTTGCTACTGTTATGAATCGTAATGTAAATGTCTTTTTGTTTTCCGATGGTCTTAGGCGACCCCTGTGAAAGGGTCGTTCAACCCCCAAAGGGGTCGCGACCCACAGGTTGAGAACCGCTGCCCTGGACAGTCTAAACGCAACCTCCCATCTCTCACTGATGGCTTGTGTTTTTACATTTGACAGTGAGATCACTCTACTCTGGAGGTCCCTCCAGCAGAGGAAAATAAAAATCATGCATAAAAGCTGACCATTGTGTTTAAACCTTATGTGCAATGAAATCCTAGGAATTTAGAGATGAGCAAGTTTCATCTAATGGTTGTGGGAAGGCCCATCCCAGTCCTGGGGTGCCAACGTGCATCACCACGGTACCTGCTGGCCTGAGAGGGTCGACTCCTCAGATATGTACTGCTTCCGGATGGAGTAAAACATAGCACATTCTTTACTGAGGCTTTCAAAACATTCTTTTTCTTCATCCCAGTTCACCTGGTCCAAAGAGAATTCAATATCTCAACACAGGCATGTGCTTTAAACACACTTTATTTCTAAGTGAAGATCACAGATGACTTTAAAACTAACTGTGAACTTCTAGGCATTAAAGCTGTAAATTGGAACTGCTGAATATCACTGAAGGGTAGATAGGGGTGCAACGGGGCCTTTAGCATTTTACCTTTTTCATTTTATCACTCCAAACAAAGGTGGGAGCCTGTACCCTCCCCCTAGCACACACCCACATACCCACATACTTAGTATTAGTTTGATCACTTGCCTCAGTGGCTAGTCGAAGAATGAAGATCGGCAGACCCTCTAATGGGGGCACATAGTTGTCGATCAGAAGGGGTAATCCAATCAGGTTCCCTTCCTGTTTGTGGGAAAAAAGGCCAGGACGGGGGACAAGAGATAATGCTACTACAGTTTAATTTAAACACATTCCATTTCCCCAGAGCTTCCTCCAGGTCTTGTCCTCATATGTGTCATTCTGGTGACCAGGTGCTTGACTGGGCAGGGAATGGGGGCAGGAGAGCTAAGCACTTAAAAGAGCTTTCTGTCCCGACATGTAGCAGAACAACCTTTTCTTTGATCTGCTCACCAACCAATGATCTTATTGAGAAGGAAAGCCCCAAAGTCAAGGGGTAAGAGGAAGAAACAGAAGCAGTGGTGCAGCATAAACTCATTCACTGGCTTGCAGGGACTAAGGGATTTCGCTCTCCCTTGTGTCAGTCTTTCACCCTGGGAACAGGAAAGGACACGAATGGATGATAAAACTGTAGTGTAGCCTAGAAATGCAAATGCCGAGTCTCCTGATCTTAGACCAGCTACACAACTTGACTGAAGAATACAACAGAGGCGTAAAAATGGCTGCCACACACCTCGTCGATTTCCAGAGAGAAATAGTCTGCAAGCATCTCAGTCTTCTTTTTTAGAAACTCAACAATGTACTCGGCAAGTCCTTCTTTGGGACCATCTTCCTCGGTCCAGCCACTCTCGGGACTATCCAAAGCGAGCATGGCGAGGTCAAAGAGTGGTGCTGGCTCCTGGAAAGGAGCAAGAACATTAAAGAGCAAGTGTTAACAGTGCATCCAAAGCAGCCTGAATTTTCCCTCAAAACCACTATCAGAAGAGCCACAAAACATGGTCCCAACAGGAGGTGAGAACCCACAAATCTAACACGCATTCCCTAAGAAAACAACAAAACCTCTTCCTCCTCAGCAATGGCCATTTCAGCAGAGGCTGTGACAGATAAACAGCCTGCTGAGCAGGTGGGAAAGGTGAGGCTGTGAGGAGGTATTCTCCTTTTGTGGAGCTTTAAAGATTCCACTTATTTCCAGAAAATCACTAGGCAGATCAAGATCATTCATTTCTTTCTACTGCCTTACCCATAACTAAAACGAGGGGGAGGATGAATAAGTTAAAGCAAATGACATTTTAGGTAAATCGTATATTAAACTTCCTCAACTTCATAAGGAGCATCTACAAAAAATCTACATACAACAGAAAGCATAGTTAATGGTCAAAGGCTGAATGCTTTCCCCCTAGATCAGGAACAAGACAAGGGTTTCTGTTCTCACCACTTCTATTTAACATTGTACGAAGGTTCTAGCCAGTGCAATCAGGCAAGAGAAAGAAAGAAAAGACATCCAGACCAGAGAGGAAGAAATAAAACTGTCTTTATTCAGATGCTGTGATCTATGTAGAAACTCTGATGGAATCTTAACTTACTGGAACTAATGAGTGAGTTTAACAAGGTTGCAAGATACTTGATCAATGTACAAAAATACTTGTATTTCTACATACTTGCAACAAACAATTGGAAATGTTTTTTAAATGCCATTTACAATAGCATAAAAAAATGTGAAACATTAAGGGATAAATCTAACAAAAGACTTTCTTCCCAAATTGATCTATAGATTTAACACAATCCCAATAAAAATCCCACATGACTTTTTTATGGCGTATATCACATGTAAAAAGAAGATATGAAACTACACAGATATGTAGTATGATTTTAACTCTAAATTAAAATTAGGCAATGAAAAAGTCTTAGAAGAAATGGACTAAAATTGTTGGCTGGGGTTGTGTTTAAGTCATGGGCTTTAGAGAACACTTATTTCTATTTTTATCTCTTTACAAGTTTTCTTAAGTAGATAAATTAATTTCCATAATAATAATAAACATTAAGTTGGCTATCAAATGACAGTTCTGCTTTTTATAAAACTATTATAATTAAAGATACCTCCATATGTAAATCATATAATACAGAAACTATCCTAAGCATATTTAGAAAAATTTAATATATTACAAATATTAGGGTAAAGCTTTAATTTCAGAAATAACCAGTTGTTGAAGTTTCAGAAACAAGAAGTGGAAAATAAACTTACCGACAACCTCAGAACACCAAAGTTGGCAAAATCATAAATGAGTATCTGGTAGAACAGTTCTTCACTGAAAATAAAAATGAAGTCACTTTAGGGAAATGTTGAATCCATGCTTGAGAGCCAAGCTATAGGGACAAAAGGAAGAACTAACCCCTGACACTGGATGGGACACAGAGATGGTTCTGCCTTGCCGTGGAAGCTTTTTTGCAGTCTGTCTACCAAGATCTTTTCCTCCAAAGAGCTGGGATTCCAGCGTGTGCTGCCGCCAGGGCTTCAAGCACTAAGAGCAAGTCTGGCTTGTTCTCACCCACACTCTGGTGCTATGGAAGCAAAGCACCTCTAGTCAAACTGAAGGAGTTTTAGTTTGCTCGCCTTATTCCCACTTACAAAGAATCCCATACACCGTATTTTTTATAACTCACCATTCAAAATGATATGGAATGTACAGAGTGCAGGGAGGCTTTCTACATAATCAGGAGTGGACATAACGCAGAATTAGCCTGTGCTGGTATATGGCTTAGGATGAGGCACAGACAACATTTCAAAAGCAGCTGTGAAGTTGTGACAACATGGAGGGACCTAGAGGGTATTATGCTGAGTGAAATAAGTCAGAGAAAGACAAATATGGTACAAATTCACTTGTATGTGGAATCTAAAAATAAAATGAATGAACAAACAAAACAGAAATAGGCTCACAGATACAGAGAACAAATTGATGGTTGCCAGATGGGAGGGGGATTGGAGGGTTGGGAGAAAAAGGTGACGGGATTAAGAAGTCCAAATTGGTAGTTATGAAATAGCCATGGGGATGTAAAGTAAAGCATAGGGACTATAGTCAATAATATTGTAGTAACTATGTATGGTGCCAGGTGGGTACTACACTTATTGGGGGAGCCCTTCATAAATTACATATATGTCTAACCACTATGCTGTACACCTGAAACTAATATAAAATAATACTGTCAACTGTAATTAAAAAATAAAATCACATCCCATAAAAAAAAAAGCTGTGAAGTATACAATATACTGAACTACTTACAAAAATACAGAATTAAAATAAATGGTAGTTTATAATTCTTTAGCAATCTGAACCATATAGGTCTTATTTAAAGACTTCTTTTCGTTTTACCAGAGGAGACGAAGCATCTGCTGTGCCTGCATCACAGTGGGCAAACTGAGGCTCCCAGTGAGTAAGTGGCTTGTCCCAGGTCATAAGGAAGTGGCACTAGATACTGCCCTCAGAACCTGGTTCTCTCCCTGTGTTTACCTTCTCGCCGGAAAACCATTCACATTTATTAATATAAAATAGCTGAAATTCTGAGAGTGGCCTGGATTCACATCTGAAATGAAAGAACCTGGTCCAGCTGTGATTTAGAGCCTTGGAAATCATGCACTTAGATATGCTGGAAAAGAAAGGAGTCAGCTCACTGTGGAAGCCTAAGGATTCTCAAAGACAATGGACTCTGAACCGAGCTGCACCGAAAGGGTTTCCAAGCCCAGGAGGAAGGAGCTGCAAATATCCAAGAGGGTATGTGTGCTGACAGGAAGCTGCGGGACCAGGCAGTTTCTAGGGCTGGGAGAGCAAACAGGTTTTTCTTTCGTGTGCCAACTGCAAGCAACAGTGGCTGCCCGAATCACAGGACCAAACCGCAGTGTGAGGCCGCAGCAGCGCTTAGTGGGGACAAGCAGATGGAAGGTGGCGGCACCCTCCTGTCTGCACTACCGACTCGAGAACATATTTAACAGTGGTTCTTGACTCAACAGGAGCTCCTCCACCAAGGTCCCTGGAAACAACAGAACCGGCACTGCTGGGCTCACCCTTCCTGGGCTCATCAGCCCCGCTGGCTTGTCTGGTGGCTGGAGTGAGCCTTCGCTCTGTCCCAAGCAGGAGGAAAGGAGGCATCCGGACCTCGTTCTCCTGCATCCCCACAGGAGCCCGCTGCACACAGCAGATGCTGGAATTCTCTACGAGCACTAAGCCCTCAACACCTGGCTCACAGCAGCCAACATTCACTGAGAATAGGCTTCTCATGTTATTTCTTATCCTCACAAAACCCTGCATGTTTATCCCAATTCACAGATGAGTAATCTGAAACAGTTTTGAAAAGAAGCTTGTCCATGGTCACATCAAAGGTAAATGGCTGAGCCTGGACCTCCGAAGCCTGGGCCCTTTCCAGCTGCGGCGGGCTGCTCTCCTGGGTTTGGGCCTGTGCCTCCAGGACCATTCGTCTAGGAGCCCTGCTCTGTTCATGCACTCACTGACTTACCTAAGCTTGGTGGTATTGAGCAGGTATAACTTGGTCTGGTGCTGAGCCAAGGCCCACTGCGGATTCACACAGCCCACAAAGGAGTGGTTATGCAGCATCTCCCGCAGAGCTGGAAAACAAACACAGGTAAGTAAGTGATGGCGTCCCACCAACACCTCTCTGCAGCCCAAAGCACCAAGCACCACAGCTAGAGACAACAAACAAGCAAAGATGCCCGAACGGACCTCTTAAGGAAAACAAATGAGGAATAAAGCATAACTAATCTTTCATAATGCAGCAAGGAATTGCCAGCAGATTCAGAAATACTCCAAGTCCACAATCTAAGACAAAGTAGGAAGCCAGAGAGGTAATGAGCTCTGACGCCAGCTTTTCCAAAGGTGCCAGAGGAACCTCAGGTCCATGACCTTTAGTTTCTGCAGGCTCTCAGGTGTGCAGAAATAGACAGAAGCCTACAAATGGTTTGAAATGGGGACTCTGAACAGGAGACCACTTCCCCAACACAAGAAGCTGAGACCCCAAGGGCTGCACCCTCCGTGAAGGGAAAGAACTAACATGTCCCATGCCCCACCCCACCCCCAAGGTCAGTGCCCACCGGCCTCCGGCCTCAGTGTTGGGAGCAAAGAAGAAATGACCTCCCTGACAATCTGTAACCATAGCTGGTCCTCACATGCTTTTGCCGCCAGGACTCACACTAAGCAGCTGCCTAGAAACCCTAAGTGCAGATTTTAGTCTAAACTGATTACAGGGCTGACTGTTCTTCCAGGTTCCAGACAGAATCAAATGCAAATTCTCTGGAGAAATTAATCTTCAATCCAGGCTTCCAATAATTCCTCACAAAGTACCAGGAACAAGCAGTCAAAAATCACAAAACACACAAAGAAACCAGGCACCAAGAATTCGAATGTAGAAGAAAGCACAGGTTTCTGCAAAGGTTTCAGAGACTGCCGATATCAGCAAAGAAGATAAAGTATGTTCAGTATGTTTAAGAGGTATTAAAACAACAAGTAACAGGAGCCTATCAAAAATGATCAAGATTTCCAAAAGAACCAAATGAAACCTCTAAAAAATATAACAACTGAAATTAAAAATCAAGATAGACTTAACAACAGAATAGACAAAGTTGGCGAGGTAATTATCGTAAGTGGAAGGTGGACGTAAGGAAATTATCCAGAATGCAGCACAGAGAGACAAAGAGATAGATACAGAAGTGCTGAAAGACACCGAGCCTCAGCTCTTCAAAGCCCAACAAAATCCATACCTGACACACACAGGTATTGTAGGAAACTAAAGAAAAGAGATCTTGGGGTGGCCGGGTAGCTCAGGTGGGTAGAGCGCAGGCTCATAACACCAAGGTTGCCGGTTCGATCCCCACATAGGCCAAGGAGCTGCGCCCTCCACAACTAGATTGAAACAACTACTTGACTTGGAGCTGCTGGGTCCTGGAAAAACACACTGTTCCCCAATAAAATTTCTTAAAAAAAGAAAAGAAAAGAGATCTTAAAAGCACTCAGAGACAAAAGAGAGATTACCCATAAAAAATAAACTATAAGACTGAAAGTTGAGCTTTCAATAGCAGGAGTAGAAGCCAAAAAATGACAGAATAACACCTTCAAGGAAAAATCTGACATTAAACCCAACCAAAACCTTTTCAAAGTAAGGATGACAAAGCAAAACTCAGTTTGCCACCCAAGCCCCAATGTGCTTAGGGCAGATCATGAAAGGTCAGAAGGAAAGGACTTATGGGCAAATAACGTGTGCTAAATCCAAACAAACTGACAGTGTATTATATTATGGAACAGGTAGATACTCACATGAAAATTGTGACTCTAACGCCATATACCATAGATAAATTCCAGGGGGAATAGAGATTTAAGTAAGCATTTTAGGAGACAATGAAAGAGCATATATTGAATTGTCGTAGAGTTAGAAGAATTTCCTAAATAAGATGAGAGCCAGCCTATAAAGAACAATTCATAAAATCTGCCTACATTAAATCTAAGAATTTCTGTTCATAAAACAAGTGTTTATAAAAAAAAGAAGAAAATGCCAGATGATCTCTAAACTGGGGTAAGATATTCCCATGCACCTGAATATATAAGGAACTCCTAAAATCAGTTAGAAAAAAACCAAAAACCCAACAGAAAAAAAATAGGCAAAAAACCTGAACAAGCACTTAACATTAAAGGAAATACACCTACGCAACTTCATCATTAACCAGAGAAACGCAAATGAAAACCACCATCAGATACCATTTCACAAACAGCAAATCGGTAAAAAGTCTGACAATACCAAACACTAGAGAAAAAGTGCAGCAAATGCAACCACTTCACATTGTTGGTCGGACAGTACATGTATGTATCTGACCCCTTTGGAAAACACTGCCGTTCTATGACCCAAAGTAACTCTCCTAAGGGTGTGCCCTGTGGCACAGCTTCCCAGCCGCGGGCCAAGCTCTTGTTCCAGCCACTGGTGGGAAACTGGGGGGCTGGGAGAGGCAGGGATGAAGCCGGGAGTCCTCCAAACGTCCCTCAACAGCAGAATGAATGAACAAACATGAAGTGGAGTCTATCACACAGAAGAGACGGATGCATTTTAGGAATATATATATATATCTCAGAAAAATACAGTATAATTCCATTTATGTAAAATTTAAAACTTGTAAGACTAAACAATAAGTTTTTTAGGGCTACAAATGTGGGTGTCTAACCTATAATAAAAAGGAAGGAAACAATAATCACAAAATGTAGGGTCTAGTTACCCCTTAGGGAGAAGAGAAGGGGATGAGATAGGCAACAGGACATAAGAGCTTCAAAGGTGATGGCGGTGCAGTTTCTTTAAGCCAGTGTCCTTCGTTTCCTTCTGTAGGTCCTGCACGTACTTTATAAATATGATTTACGTTTACTAATGTGTGTGTGTGTGTGTGTGTGTGTGTGTATTTTACTTTGATGAGAGAAGTAAAAACACGACCACCGTAACGGGGGCTGGGGGACGAGGGGCTAGACACAACCGGGGAAGGGGCTTGGGGACGGCAATAACCTACACGTCACGTTTTTACTATACTTTTTTTAAAGCTTGGGCAGTGAATTCTCATCGTTACATAAGTTCTGCAACAGTCCCTGCTCCCCCCATAAGAAGCTTATTTTCTTCAGTCTTAGAATAAGTGTTCCCCTCTGTTCCCACTGGAAACTCAATGTTTCTGCAGGATGTTCTGTGTAGGCGGAAAATGACTTTAAAAGCTGGAGAACATCAAATAATCTTGAATAATGAGGCACTGGAGGAAAGAGAAGCAGTGTAATCCACTAAGAAGGGTCAGAGATTTTTCCATCGATTTGTCATGGAACTCTCTGCCGCATCTCCAGCTACTGAAGAGCGGCCGAACCTGCGGGGGCAGGGGTAGGGGCGGGGGCAGCTGCTACCCAGCACAGGGCTTCCAGCCCCGCAGAAAATGAACCAAGAATACCGGCTAGGAGAACATTGACTCTTCAAGGCCTCTGATCAGAACTCCAAGCACCTATATTTCATGCCTCCCCTAAAGATCCCTGCAGCACTAGAAGTCTGTGGGCCTTGCCCTGCCATTCTGCCAGCAGCAAAATGAACACAGTCCTCTGCTTCAAAGCCGAACCACACCTCTGAGTTCACAAAGCACGCCTTGGGTCCCAGGGGCCTGGAGCTTATAAGGCTCGCACCCGGTATCTTAGGTGTCCATCACAAAGCCCAGCAAGGGCTGTCGTAGTAGCATAATTTTACAGAGTAGGAAAACGGTGCCCCAAAAAGGTGAACAAATTTCCAACGCGCTAAGGAACAGTGTAGCTGGCAGGAGCTTCAGCAGAGTTCATCTGGGTCCAAAGGAAGCGCTCACTCCAGTCCGCATCACAGACGGCTATTCCCTCTGGAAGACCCTACGCCAGCGTGTCTGAAAACGCCAGCCTCAGTCTCAGGCGTCGGAGTCACAGGGTGTGCCTGTCCTGCACAGCCCGCTGATGTGGTTTTGCATCTATATAAATACTGGGCTGCCTCCCTGCGTGCAGCCCATGCCAGTAACCACCCCCCTCAACAGGCAAGGACCTGGGAGGTTCCAACTCATCTGTCCTCTCCTCCACCTTCCATTCCATTTCCTCATCTTTAAAACACAGGTAACAGCATCTGCTTTTTCTCCCTTTACGAGACTACTCTAGAACTAAATGAGATAACGGTATGAATATACAGTTTTAGAACATTTAGATTCATCGTCTCAGCCTCAGCCATGGACGCCAAACCTGATCAACCTTGACGCAGGTTATTTTTATATTGCACTGAAAATAGTTTGCACCTATTCAGAAGTGTATTGAAATTATAACTTTAAATAGACTGCTTTGCATGAGGGCTACAAGCCCTTAAAGAAAACTGAGTAAACTCCAAATCTGAGGGAGTCTGCCCATTAAAACTACCGTGAGGAAGACTGCTGAGTAAATCAAGTAACAGCCCACCTTTCTTATTTTCTTTTAAATGGTTTTAAAAGCTACCAGCTTGGAAGCCACACACAAAGGGAAAGAGCAACCGGAACAAATCCTCATGGAAACAAAAGTCAGAGGCCAACTGGCAGCTACTTCCACAACCGGCAAGACCTTAGTCACAGGAAGTTTTTACCCTTCCCAAGGGGAGACACTCCCTACATGTCCCCGACACGCAGACAAAGGCCCAAAGTGCTAAGAAAAGAGAGAATGAACAGGGAAAGGCAAATTGAGGCCTTCCCGAATGAGTTCAAACAAGTGCTGACTGAGAGAGAAACGGGAAAGGCCTCTGGGTCAGAGCAGCTGTTTCAGAAGGTTCAGGATTAGTGAGAAAGGCACTAAACTGCTCCTCAGCCCCTCGTTTCCTTTTAAAGTTAATCCAGGTTGTCCTATTTTAAGACACATTTCATAGCAGTGTTGAAATTTCACTATTTTAATCGAGAAATGCGTTATAGATGAAAACTGGGAACACCATGGCTAACTTGTGTGGACTCACGTGCAGAGCTGCCCTGCGGAGCCTGGAGCAGTGATGCCCGCACTCGGACATGACTGACTCAAGTGGGGTCAGGAGTGTTGTTAGGGACAAGTGGCTGTTCTCCATCCCAGTCCCTGGGTCAGCTCATCCCTGGGTCAGCTCATCAAAGGGTGAGGCGACTAACCCTTTCAATTCCTAAAACCATAGAGTTAGTTTAGAAGAAACGGGAACCAAAATGGAGTTCTCCACTCCACTCAGGAACTCTGAAAAGCTGTTTCTGAGGAAGATGATAATGATTTTTACTTTGTTTTCAGGGTATAAAAATTATCTACTGATTCCTTACTCTGTAACAAGTGTCTATCTCTAATCAGCACAATAATCTTCAAGGGTAAAATTAATCTAATTTTACAGATGAGGAAAAACGGAGGCACAGAAAGGTTAAGTCACGAGTCTAAGGTCACACAGCAGAAGCAGAAGTGCCGGGATATGAACCCAGGGCCTTCCAAATCCTGTGCACTTTCAGCAACAGCTCACCCAGTCAGGCCAAGGATGAGAATTTTGCTGATTACACTGCATTAAGCAAAGAAACAAACTGAAGGTTATTTAAATGACTGCTTTACTTTGACTCCTCTTGTTTAACGAGAATACCAATTAATTCTGATTAAAACCAGACTATTTTTCCCTTCTCTCCCAGTTGAAAATTGCTTAAACCGCTGCTGCTGTGGGCCCGTAAAGGAAGAGGGGTTTGCTCAGCACACTGCAGCTGCCATCCTAACCCAAATACTCTCTGCATTTCCCGAAACTGGGCACTAGCAGTTCCGGCCCTCGGAGTCCCTGACAGACCTGGGCACTTACGTACTCTCATGTCCTCGCTCGTTAATTTCTTCCTGGAGACTCAGAACACTGGTGAGGTTAATGATTCTTCTTCGGGGGGTACAAGCGGCTGTCATTTCCTTTCGGGACTCATCTTCCTCCATTTCCACGTCGGAGACTTCCCGATGTCTCTTTCTGCAATGAAGATAAGGAACTGGCAGATCACCACTGCTCTTTTTCATTTGTTTTTGGTTCAGCCAAATTCGGTGTTGCATTTTGGAGAAGGGAGCAGCTGCTCTTGCTGGCTCTGCACATCTGGGAGGGACCCCTGTGCTGGTGGACAGCCAGCAAGATCAGTCTGCTCTCCAGCACACTGCTCATCTGACAGCCCTCAGAGCCCGGCAGCCGGCCGCTGCCCATGGGGCTTGAGAGTCCAGCTCAGCCCCGTGGGGCTGCAGGGCCGTGAGCAAGTGGGCTGACCTTGCCAATCTCCTTCCTTCAGTCCTCCATCTACCTGTCCCTCAGACACTGTTACAATGCCCAGCGCACACAGCCACAAACCAGACAGCCACGCTGCCTGCCCTCGCGACGCTGACTTTCTAGTGGCGGAGTCAAAGGGCAACAGAAAAGACCATTTTAAGTAGCAACAAATGCTGTGAAGAAAACAAGGTAACGTAACAGAATGATGGAGAAGGGAGAGAGAACCTGAGATCAAGTGGACAAAGGCCTCTGGGAAGAGGTGACATTTGAGTTGGGACCTGAGTGACAAGAAGCCAGAGTCTTCCACGGCCAAGGGCACAGTGAGTGTGGCGTAAGCAGCTCAGTGAGCTCAGGTCAGCCACAAGATCGGGGCGGCCAAAGCACCACGAGGGACAGGGAGAGTGGTAGGCTGGAGGGACGGCAGGGGGCTTTTATCCCAAGTGCAATGGGAAGCCACTGGTTTTTAGCAGAGGAGTGATACAATCTGAATTCTGGTTTTAAAAGATTTGACTGATGTGTGGTTAAATATAGCTTGTGGTGTTAATTCCTCAAGCGATCAACAGAAATGTAATGCTTCCCAGCAGGGCTGTTGAGGGCATGAATTGAGGTAATGTCTGTAAAGCATATTGCACATAGTGGAGCAAATGCAACTTATTGAGTAGGTGCTCAATAAATGTTAGCATCCTTTATTATTCCCTGGGAAAAAAATCCTTAGGAGTTGTCTCACTAGACTGACTCGGAAGTGAGGAAACTAGAGTTAAGTAACTCATCCACATTCCGATGGCCAATCAGTGTCAGGGTTTCGGTGGTCAGCCTCCAAGCGGATGTGCAGCCTTGGGCGCAAGACTTCACTGTGAGCTCCAGGTACAGGTACCCGAACACATTAGATAACAAATACCTATCATGCGGAATTCAGTGGGATGTGTTTCAAGAAGCTGTAGACTGTACACTGGAAATGCCCCAAATGAAATGACAGTAATTATTGCTGTTGTTCCTGCCCGCTTTCTCTACCCTCACTCACCACTACTAGCTCATGTGCTTCAGAGTTTCATAATTTGAATTGAGAAAGTATCGTTTCCTAGAAGGAGTGAAAGGAGGATGAAAGAGAATCCTCCAGATATTTTAGGCTTCTCTGTCTAGCCATCTTTGCTATTGAGGCTTTACCAAAATTCATTACTAAAAATGAAAGATAGGGCAGGCTGAGTGGCTCAGTTGGTTAAGAGCTCGCTCAAGAGTGTGAGCTCTGAGCAACAGAGTTGCCTGTTTGATTCCCAGCCCGAGCTGAGCTGCCAACAGGTGGCAGGATGGCTCAGCTAAAATAAATAATACATATAAATGAAGGATAAATCTTCTGATTCTTTTTCTGATGTGTTTTTAACTAATGCTTAGAATTATGGACATTTAAGGTATTTCAAAGGTCACTGTGATGGGTGACATGGTCAAAGGTAGACAGTAGACAAGGCCACAGCCCTGTCCCATCGGAGGCAAAGGGCGAGTCAGGCAGAGGTGAGATACAAGCTCTTCACAAGAAGTCCAAGTCAGGGGCAGTTTTATTAAAGAACAAAGGATGCACTTTTCCCAAAAGGCCATACCTGGGGTTGTCCGTGCTGGAAGGGGGCCCTCTCTTCTCTGATGTTTCTGAAGTCACCTCCCCTTCCAAACTCTGATTCTCGGCAGCCACTTCAGCTGGAGCTGGGAGTTCAAGCATTTCCTCATCTTGCTGCTTGGCACCGCAGGTGTCCGTCCTGTCCTCTGGAACCACTGTTCCGAAGGCCTGGGGCTGACTGGCCGGGGCCTGGCTCACAGGCTGCAGGAAGGCATCAAGCTTCTGCTCCCGGGAATCTGTGCGGACCATCTGGTGGGCATAGACCTTGTCGCCACCTCCAGAAGCAGATGGCGGGGCCACACCCGTTGTGGATTTAACCACCTCCCCAGAGGGGCCAGCAAGACTTGGCAGTAAAGTCTGTGTCAAAAAAGCAGACAGCGGGAAGATGCAGAATATGAGGTATACAAGTCCAGGTCCCAAAATGGAGCAGTATTGGAGGAAAAAGCTAGAACCTATAGTTATCATTCTGGAATTATTATGTAACTTTGGTCCAAACCTGAAGTATAAAATTAAAGATACAGAAAGATAAAATTTAAAAATTCAGCAAAATCTTTATAATCTTAGAATTGGTTTGAAATGGAAATATTTGCATAAAGTTTTCAAATTTGGGGTTTGTTTTGCTGCTTAAGACGATTTTATTTTTTTTTTTTAAAATATACATAATCTAAAATTTTCCATGTGACTAGTTTTAAGTGTACATTTCTTTGGCATTAAGCACATTCACACTGTTATACAACCATCACCATCCATCTCCAGAACTTTTTCATCCTCCCAAACTGAAACTCTGTGCCCACTAAACTCACCATTCTCTCCTCTCCCCCAGCTTCTAGTAACCACCACTCTGTTGGTTTTTCAATATACATATTTCCTAGCTCTGTCCTAGAAACAATGACCACCCTACAGCAATGAGGACCCTCTGGTCCCAGATTATAGTCTCTAAATACCATTCACACTACAATAAATCAGAGCTCCTTAGAGAAGTGGCCAATTTCAGGGCTTGGACTGGGAAAGTGAACCTACACTATCTTGTCATGCCAGAAACAAAGAAACGATCAAAAACTAATGGAACTGGGCCAAAAGGACAAGAACACCACCAGTCTAAAGGTGCTTCCATTGGTCTAAGATGGGATAACTTGAGCCTCAAAAGGAAAATAACTACAATTGATTAAATTATATCGTTTTGTTACCAGCTATGACAAACTAATAAGGAAAGAAAAAGGTGGGGAGAGAAAAAGAGCAAGGAAGAGACAGAGAAAGGAAAAGTCATCAAACATCACTGGAGTGGAGAGTGCCAGAACGCCAACTTATTCCTTCGCAAATTCATAATTAAAGAGATAGAACTCAGCATTTATCCTTACTTTCTACCACGAACTGTCTTTCAGCATAAATAAATAGCTCTAACAAATGAGGAAAAGTTAACCTATACTATACAGAAGAATTAACTAACACAGAAAAAAATGATACAATCAGAAAATCATAATCTTGCAATCTTAACGCAATGACTGATTCAGGTAATGGCCATCCATGGATGGTGCAGCCATTAAGCTAAATATCAACGGGGAACATTACAATGAAGGAATCAGGCTGTGACCAGCTGAGTCACCGACATGACATAACAAGTCAGTATGCACCTCCTACTGGGATGCAATAGAAAATACATGGCGTCATCTATCAAGAATTCTCGCAAAAAACTTTTTTAATTTAAATATAATCATGCATCTAGATCGAATTTCCAGTTTATGGAAAAAATGGAGGATTACAATAAGTTAAATGACACCAAGAAGCAGCAATCATCCAATCTGAAATGTATAGTATTTTACAGGAAACCTTTAGAATAAGCCAGTGAGAACACAAAAACTTCTAGTTTTAAAGACACTTCAAAGAGATTTAAAAGACATAACCACCACACATAATGAGCAGAACTTAATCGGATGCAGATTTGAACAAAGCTACGATATAAAAGGATCATTTTTGGACAATTGGGACATTTGGATACGGACCGGATATTAAATATTATTACAATTAATTTTATTAGGTATAAAAGGACATTAGATTATGTAAGAAAAAAATATTTTTTAATGCATAATAAAGTACTAAGTAAAAAATAAATCCCTGGAATGTGCTTTAAAACACTCCTTTCCTCACCCCCAAGTGGGAGAGGGAGAGAAAAAACAAATACAGCAAAACGTTGATGGTTGTTAAAGGTACGTGGGTATTTGTTGTGTGATCTATTTTTATGTGTGTTTAAAAATATTCAATAATAAAGAGTTAAATTATAAAAAGTTTAAGATAGCAACTTTGCTCAAAAAGGAAGAAACTTTCTTCGCGGACAATTTAAAACCCTTGCAATGTATTTACTTCATTTTGCCTGTGCAATACCCACAGGTGGGTTTTAGGAAGCAGAAGTTAACTACTTTGCAGCCAGTAATTTTAAAGTCCAGACACGTGAAATAGCTTGTCCAAAAGGACAGTGCTGGAACAAACTGCAGGTATCCCCAGGGCTCCTGATTTCATATCAAATGGTTTCACTGCAAACCAGGGCTTTGGCTGTACTGGCCTGGGGCAGGGGAGTGCAAGACAAAAGTTGGGGGCAGGCAAGTGACTCCAAGGCCAGAAAGTCAGGGGCCAGGGCGGCCTGCTGTTGGCAGGGAGAGCAGGTATTCTGAGGACACCACAGCAGCAGGGACAGCTCCAAGTTTAGCCCCCGCCCCCCACAGCAGTGCTCCAGCAGACAGAGGAAGGCCCTCTGACACGGCCTCCCCAGGGTCCAGCCCCTCCACTCTGCCCCGTGTAGTGTATATGGGACGGGCCTCCTCCTGAACATCTCCAAGAGAGAAGCGCGCATGGAAGAGGTGCCCTATTGTTTCAGAGAGATTGTTTCCTAGGAAGTCGGTCAAAGGTCCCAGATGGAGATTGGGGGGGTGGGGGGGGCAGTCAGGCCTGACTCCAGGCCCAGGGGTAACATGACAACACCTTCCCAGTTAGTTAGGTTCAAAGACGGAAATGGTGGTCAAAGAACGTAATACACGGAAAGCCCGAAAGCAACAGGCACCTAAAGCAACAGGCAAAAATCTGGGCTCTCATGTCTGACGATTCATTTTAAGGTGGCACAGGAGCAGAGAAAGAGCTGGGGCCAGCACCCTCACCTGGGTGAAGTACATCCTGGAGGAGTTGGCGCCCAGGAGCCTGCTCTCTATGTGCTGCTGCACTCGCTCCAGGATGCTGTCCTCGTGCAGGAAGTGAACTTCATGCTTTGTGGGGTGCACGTTGACGTCCACATTCTGGGGGCTGATTTCCAAACTGGCCGGGAAAAAAGAGAACTACCTCAGATGGTAGACGATGGGGAAAAAATTCACACAGGCTGCACATGGTGGCCAAGACTTGGGGATGCGAAAATGACACAGCGGTCAAAACTTCAAGGTCAACTCTGAGTGACCTGGGCTCAAGAGCTGACGCTGCTACTTAAAAAGCTTCGTAGTTTTGGGTAAATTACATCATCTTTCTTTGCCTCAGTTTCCTCATTTGTAAAGTAGGGGTTAAATTCATGGAAAGCACTCTGCATGTAACTGGCACATTTATGATATGTCCGCTGTTATTATCATTCCAGAACTAGTGCAATTTCTTATGTGACTGCAGTAAGTCACTTAATGTCTCCGCATCCGTTTCCTCATCTGTACCCATGAACTGGTCCCCTACTAATTTTTCAGTATTATATGAGAACCAAAACAAGAATACATGAGAGAAAACTTTCTATCGATAAAATGTAATACAAAAGTCAGTTTAGAGGCTCTGCTATCAACTTACTGCCTCAGCTCCACCTCCATCTTTCCTTGCTCGCTTTGTGATAACGAAGCTTTGTAATGTGAGTCTTTGTCAGTAGAGGACGCTGGAGGGACCCTGGAGGAGGAAGGGGTTTCTCTGCCAGGTTTGCGGCAGTTTCTTCCTGGTTCAGGGGCAAGATATGTGATTCACCTATTTCACCACGAGGGGGCTCTCAGTGAGATTCTGCTACATGAGCGAGCAAATGAAGGAACACTGTGCCCTTTCCCTGTGAGAAGGGACAGGACATCTTTTTGCTAGTGGTGTATGGGGTTCACTGATCAGGCTGTTAGCAAGCCCATCTCTTTCAAGGACAGCAGGATAAAATTTCCGTTCCTTGTGAGTCTTGGGTGAGGAGTTTGGTAAGTATTACCTGAGGTACAGGAACGGGTGTGTGTTTTTGGGCAAATAGGCTGCATACACCATTTCAATGGCTTTTTTTAAGGAAGTTGACTCTACCAGACGATCTAAAAAAATAAAAGTAACCAGTTAGACTGTCCTGAGGGCTGAGGCGACAGGTGAACACTCGTACCATGCCACTGAATCACCTCAGGAAGAATGCCTCCTGAGGAGTGATATTCACATCAGACTCCCAGGAAGGGTCCTCTTTACCTGCAGCATCTTACTACGGGTGTAGGGCTCTCTCCTCTTGCTCAAGTAGCAGAAACAAGATAGGGCAGTAAATTCTGCCTCCCCACTTCCCTTCCCCCACCCCGCCGTCAGCCCAGGTGGACTATCTTTGCCCTTGCTGGGCAGTATGACAACAGCATCAGCTCCCAGACTTCATCCTGCAAATACATACATGTGCCATGCGCTGGGAGACAATATGCTGGTGAATAAACTAATTCCAACTCCAAGTGGTAAGCATTACTAGAGAGATGTGTGCTAAATGGCGAGACGAGGGACCAACTACGTCTGCTCAGGACTTCTAACCGTGGGGTATCCAAAGTGAGTCATGAAGGGTAAGAAATTTTCCAGGCGTTTCAGGCAGTACAAACATCTGCATGTATGTTGAAGGTAATTTAGGAAATCCGGCAGGTTTGAGGGAGTGGAAAACAGCAAAGGCTGGGAGAGAGAAGACTGAAACAGTTCTCCTTTCTCTCCACACAGATGACCTGCTGATGATCTGCGTTCTGTGCCGGTGAGCCGAGGTGTGTCACATCTTTCTATTTCCAATGAGAAGAGTGGCTGCGATTTTATCAGTGAGGAAACCATCATTCTCTGAGTGCTCACTACATCAACAGCCCCCTTGATAATGTCACTGTACTCTGTAACACGTGTCCTGACCACACAGGCCTGGAGCAGGTGTGTGGGCACCTGACAAGGGGACAGCTGGAGCCCCTCTGCTGAGATTTCTGAACTTGATCATGCCAAAGGCGTGTTCTTTGTCCCTGCTGCCTGAGTGAGTCTGCACAGCGTTTAGATAACCGAATGACATGCCTGAGAGGCTGACCTCTCTTTGCTACTGGGAACTTGGCATCAGGACCTGATTAGCTAATGTTAACGCAGAGTCCATATGGTGAACAGCAGCTGCCCCAGAAGCAGGGACAGGAGCTACTCCGATGGCACTTTCTGATCTATGCTTGTCTGTTCTGCAGCCAACACATGTTTTACAAAGCAGTTATTCTTCACGGTTAGGAAAAAACAAATGAAAACCATTCTCTGAGCCTTGATTAAAGCAAGCTTTGTTATATCCGGCATTAAGTTCTTCCTAATGAAGTGGGGAAATACCCTGCTAATGTAAATCAGTTTAACAGAGTGTGTCTATAAGATACTGGCTCTTGGGCTGGCCGAGTGGCGCATTGGTTAAGAGCTGGCTTGGGACGCCAGAGAGCCCCGGTTCGGATCCCACATATGAGGGCCAGTGACACTGCCCTCCACAGCTAAGATGCTGAACAGCTCAACCTGGAGCTGGGATACCGTGAGTGCCTGAGTCGCCGTGGGTTGCCATGGGCTACGGTGTGTAGCCAGCAACCAGTGTGAGCGGCCAGTGGTCGCTGTGAGCGGCAGTCCAGAAGCTGGTGACTGATTTGCCTCGCCCAGGAAGAGCGCAATGATGGTGCCAACTTGGGCCAGTGAAGCAACGTCCTCCACAACTAGACTGAAGAACAAAACAGCAATTTGTCTAACTGTCTGTTCCCCTTCCCTCAATTCCCCAGCGCTGTTCCCATCCCCCAGTCCCCCAATAAAAATCTTTAAAAAAAAAAGATACTGGCTTTCTCCTCACTGTTTCCATATTGCTTTGAACTGCTGTAAAATAGTCATAATTTGGGACATTTAAATCTGGTTAACACTATAAGTGGAAGGGGGGTACTATACCATTTCCAACAGCAAATAAACAAAATAAAAAATTATAAAATATATGAATTGCTTTAAACAATAAAGGTAAAGGATCTCTATGATAAAAATGAGAAGACTGAGCAAATGGGGAGACACATCTTGTTTCTGGATAGATAATGAAATACTGAGTCAGGCAATGTTTGGGATTATTTGTTGCTACCATGTCACTGTCTCTCAAAACCATATAATATGCAATTAAGTAAAATGAAGCAGAACGCACAATAGTATCTGCTTAATAGTCAGCAGTCATGTAAACACTATGTCAGCAGTGTCTAGAGATAGAGACTGGAAAGAAATCTGAGAAAAATCCGAATTTATTTAGTTCATTTCCTCCCTGATTTTTAGTACTATTCTTTGTATCATAAATAATTCTCATTCGTTAAAAAGAAAACTCAGAGGGCTTAGCATTCAATTTCTTTACTTTAATAACAATACCTATACCCAAAGTACCCCCTTCCCTGTGTCCTGCTGTGTAATTTCAAACAGGGGACCTCTATCTAAGGAGAGAATGAAGGTCTGCGTAGGGCCTGCTTGGAGAGGCTCTGATGCCAGCAGGTGACAAGACATGCTGGCTTGCAGGGGACTGTCATGCTCTTTCCAGGGACCCCTCTTAAAGCAAAAACAGTCAGCCAGCAATAAGCACGTCTCAGAGGGCTGAGCTGACTTAGGCCAGAAATTACAAATGCCTCCTAATCAAACCAGATTTTGGCACAAGGTGCTCCTGTGTGTAATCAAACCCGTACATTAGGGATTTTTCATGGTCCCATAGAATCCCCTGGAGATCGATTTCCCCATTTGGTTCTTTTCACTTACGGTTGATGAACAGTAAGAAGACGCACTTCTTCACCGAGTAGTTTGCATTGGATATGTAGCCATTCATTCTGAAGCCTAGCATTTTATCCTCACACCCAACTTCTATCAATTCTCTGGGTGGAAAAGAGAAATTTTGAGGCTTTTGAATATACTGGAAAATTCAAATGTTATAAAGAATCAGAGTTGGAAAAATCAGAGTCCCTCCCATAAACTAATTGCCAAATGAGGACCCCAGAGATGGTTTGCTGAGGTCCTCTGGGCCCACCCATTAGTTCATCTGCCTGTCTAACCACCTATCATCCATCCATCTGTCCGTCCATCCATCCATCCATCCACTTACCCACTCAGTCAGTGTTTTCAAGCACTTAAACTATATGCCAAGCACTGCTCTAATTGCTAGGACACAGTGCCAAGTCCAAGCTCTGAAACCTTATTTTGCTGAAACTTTTGTGTATCTTAGGAACTACATCCCAAAGATGAGGCTCCCAAAAAACTCATCTCTGCTGAATCCCTTACTGTAAAGAATCACACCACAATGAGACTCCAGCGTGGTGTTCCCCAGTGTGTGTTTAAGAGGAGATCAGTTTAATAGGTGAAAGGAGGTTCTCATACAAGCCACACCCATCTCTGCCTGAGGGCCTTCCTGAGTGCTGGTCCCTTGGCGGTGAAAGCTTCTATTGTCAGCTAATGAACTCTTTCTAACCCCTCATATCTCAGGGATTATTTCTGCAAAGGGTCTTCTCTAACTGAGCCCTCCCTAACCACAAAAGTTTCTTCCATTGTGCCTTGTATTTTTAATTTGTGGCACCTAGCACAATCACTAATGAATGGCATGATTATTTCATGTGTTTTTCCAACTAGACTATGAGTCCTCTGAGGGCAAGAATCATTTCTGCTTTATTCCGGACTACATATCTCTAGCACACAGCACAGCACCCAGCCAACAGCAGGTACGCAGAAAGCATTTGCCGAATGTATGGTGGAAGCTTTTCATGCAGTAATGTGTGCTCTGAGTATTTGAGCAGGGGGTACAGTTTGCAGTATGTGCCACACACAATCAACCAGCAAATCCTTTCTTTCCAAAATGTCTCAAGAGGCCGGTGTTCTGGCCACACACTTTGGGAACTGCTGCTCTATGGGATTTCTAATCTCTTACAGTCCCTAGGAATTTCATAACAACTAATTCTGAGTCTCACAATTTAGTCAAGAAACTCTTAAAAGTTTCTCTGTATAAAAGAGCTCCCTCCTTGCTCTGGGAGCACAATTTAAAACAATTAATTCAGTAACACTTAATTAGTAAGGAGAGGGTAATTAAAAGCAGACTGTTAGACACTTGTTAGACCTAGTTAGACACTTGGTTTTGCTCAAATAATAATCTGTCCTTCAAAGCAGAAAACTGGGTTCTGGGACTACTGCTGCTGCTTTTAAGATTATTGGAAAAAGGGAAGTCAGGAGCTGACTCCTTCATCCGTGGATCCCTAGCGCCTGGTGCCTGCCCGACATATAGTAGGATCTGAGTATTCTCCCCTTCAAATGATGACACTGGCATTTTGGGCTCTGTAAAGTCCTGAGATTTAGCTAGGAATCTGTGATAGACATGATGGTTCTGGTGGTAGTGCAAAGTGACAGAAGGGAGTGCCACAAAGAATCTACAATGGAAGCAATTTCCCCTCTTAGGCTTCCCTTGACAATGAGTTTGGGTGACACTCACAAATCTGCTTGCCACTAGACAGGAAAGTCTTTAAGGGCGGGAAATATTGTATTTGTCTTTACATTCTTAACTTCTGGCATACTGCCTGGAATATGGGAGGCAATTAATAAATGCTTAATGATAATAAATGAAATCCTAAACTGATGATAATGGAAATATAAGGGAAAGAGGGAGCATTGGAGGATGAAAGAATTCTACTACACTATAAGTATTTTGAAGACAGAGAGCTAGAGAGAACACAGTGACTTAGAGCCAGACCATCTAGGAGATAACATGCACCCAAGAAGTATTAGTGACACGAAATAATGACTCTGAATGAATCGGAAGCATGAAAACAAGCTTGCGTATTTGATTAAAGCAAACTCTTAAGGCAGGTGCTATCTTATCTAAAATAGTGTGAGCAAGTGCGGAAGATTTTTTTAAATCTAAGCTCTCAACATACCGGCTAACAGCATTTCCAAAGATGGAGCGAATGTTGTCCACGGTTGTGGCATTGGGCAGTGTTCTAACATCAGCTACTGTCTCACCTTGCTGAAAAATAGAACAGAAGATATGACTTACTGCCTCATAGTTGTGATTGAAACATCATAACCTTATCTCCACAGGAGAACTATAAAAAAATTATTTTTCTTTTGTACTACATAACCACCCCTATTAATCAGTAACTTACCTTTTTAACTGAGAAACTAATGCCTGAATTGTGGATTGAATACCTGGCAAAGGGAAAAAGACAAAACAAAACAGTAAGCAAAGAGTGGCCAAATGCACAATACATGTCAGAGCCCCCTTTCAGTTAAACAAATTGGTGGAGTTAAGTGATATAAACAAAAATACATACAAACAAAAATATCTTCATCTATCGTATTTTACCCACAGGAAAATAAGCCAGCATAGACTTCATGGAGATATCACTGCTAAAATGTGGCTGAATCAAACCAAAAACAGGGTTCCACTTTGCATCCATAAATTGCTGACTAGACTCAGTATCTCAATACAATTTCCTCCTCACCTAGTTTCATTTTCACAAACTCAAAAGGTCTGGGTTGCCTCAAGGACATCTTGAGAACCTTGCTGTATCAATCCCTGCACTCTTTTTATCTCTCTCAGACCCTCAATACAGGCCCTCCTCCCTGTTTCTTCCTCGAGCAGGGTCACTACATTAAATCTCTGAAGCCACCCTGGTTCTTATCCTCCCCAAGAAGCAACTGTCCATGATTTTTTCCCTTTGGTGAGTCACCCTAGCCTTTCAGTAAATTTATTTTGGGCTCAAGTTAGCTAGAGTCAATTTGTTTTGCTTGTTATCAAAGAACCCTCACTGATACAGAGACCAACTGCTCTCTCCTGGGGACATGAGAGAAAACCCAGAATTAGTGACTAAACCCTGACCACATACAATCTGTAGGCCAGCACTGCTGTATTCCAGGTAGCTCAGCAGCCACTGTCAGTTCATAGGCACAGTACACATTCCTTTGGCAAACTATCTCAGAGACCCACGATTTTGGACTATACCTGCCAACAACTTCCAAAATCTTCCCATACTCTTCACTTGGATTTTTTAAAGCTTTCCTCCTCGTGGGTATGTTGTAAAAAAGGTCCTCCACCTGAACAAGAGATTCAGTTTTCTTGTAAATTCACAGAAGTATATGGAAATAAAGACCCAAGCTGTCCACCTAAAGCTGGGTCTTAACGCAGAGAATCCAACTATTTTTATATATTTATCACCAGCCTGGTTCTCAGCACTGGTTGGGGTCGGGGAGTGAGAGATAAGGCAGCCTTAACAAAGGAAATAAAGGATGTTTTTCCTGCCTCCCACATTCGTTCGCTGATTTCTCAAATAGGTACTGGGGGCTATCTCTGTGTCAGGCTCCGCACCTTGTACTGGGAATATGAAGACAAATAAATAAAGCACAGTGTTGCCTAGCACAGCACAAGACTTAGTGGCGCAAACATAAATTTACAATTATAACATCACGGGGCAATCAAACATATTTTTCAAACGAAGAATTACAAAATTCCTGAGATCATTTGGGGTTCTTGGAAATCAGCTGTGTTCACCCTGTACAGGGTCCCTCTTCAGTACGTGCCCTTCAGAGCACACGTTCGTTTCTGCCTCCTGCCCGCCTCACAGGCCCTGGGCTTAGTTTCTGGGGACTGTGCTCTAGCTAAGGCTGGAGGTGGAGACGGGGATGCATAACATGACAGCGGGGTACTTTATGGGCCCACAGGATGGGAAGAGACCAAAGGTAGCACCACAGAAATAAGGAATGTAAAGGACTTTCTTCTGAATAATGATGTAATCATTGCTCCAACACCCTTTGAGTGGGCACGTATTCTGCATTCCATTTTATAGATGAGAACAGTGAGGTTAAGGGACATCAGACAACTTGCGTCTGGACACTCAATCATTGAGTGGCAAGGCTGGGATTCTAACTCATGTCTTCTAGAGTCAAGCTTAAGGTTCTTTCAATGCTAACTACCCTGCCACTGATTTCTGCCACCCCCAAAAAGGAATCTCCTGGCCTCTTAAAAAAAGAAGAGGGGTTGGGCAGCCTGTCATGCAACAACAACAAAAAACACAAAAATCATTTATCTTGCTTAGAAGGTGGTACCTTGGGACTTGTATTAACTAGCAGAGATTTATTTTACTATTATTTTGAAAGTTCAGAGATAACTTTCTTCAATATTTATACAAAGCTCTTTTTTAACAATTTACCCTCCCATGTACCATTCTTACCGTGATCTGGGTCCCCTGATTGCCTGCACATGGTTTAGGAGGGGCTTTCAGCTTTCCATCTGAGTAATTTGCTCTAATCAAGAAATATAAGCCATTATTAATATCTAATAGAAACAGGATAGATACTTATCCAAACGGTAAAAAAGAAACGTGCACCAATAATAGGTTAAAATATATGCATGTCCAATACTGTCTTAATTATCATTTTCCTCTTTGTTTTCCTACTACTTCCATAACCGTTCTAATTGGATACCAAAAAAAAAGTCTCTGTTCTTCTAGCAAATGTTGCTTTTTAATTCCTGAGTTCTGAGCTACAAACTACAGTTTTGCCAATGCTTAAGATGACAGTAAAGTTTTTTCAGTTATTCTGCGATCATTTATTGAGAGATTACCACACATCAGGCTTAGAATAAAGGCAGGAGCAGGAACAATGGGCTAAATGATCTAGAGAAGGAAACATTCAGCCTGGCGTGAGAGTGAGGGAGGGTGAACGTGTCCCAGAAGAGGCGACCGTTCATCTGGGCTCGAGGGAGGAATAGTTCCAGGTGGAGAGAGCAGGGAACACTGTCCAGGAAGAGAAAAACACAAGCAAAAGCACAGAAGCTTTAGAATACGTGGCCATTGGGGATGTGTGAAGAGAAGAGGCTGAAAGGTGGGCTGAGAGCACGTTGGGAGGGCGCTGGTTGCTATGGTAATGATTGGATTCATCCAGCCACGGAAGGGGAGCCACCAGAGGTCCCACGGAAGGGCATAACGTGATCCCAGGGGTGAAGAAACTGGGGTCAGCCTATCTAGGTCCCAGGGCAACTATAATCAGAGTCAAACTCCTCTAGCGTCAGTGCTATGCACTCTGAAACGCACATCTTCCACTACTTCACACATCTGTCTGTTGAAGAAAACTGGGAAGCAGGCAGAACTGCCCCTGTTGAAGCGATTTTCTACATTAACTCACAATCTGTGATAAAAAAAAATTCTTTTGGGGGCATGAATTAGGTACTCCTACTTGTCTTCCACTAGCGAATGGCCAGTGCTTATAAAAACAAAGATGGGATTTTGATTCCTTGAATCTGCTTTTGCTCTGTTCCAAGGCTGTTCATCAGCCTCTGAAACCTGTGCCAGCACAACAGTCAGTGGCCACCACGGGAAGGCAAACCAGCACAGGCGCACATGTGGGAGGAAGCTGGCGGCTCACCGGCCAGCTAAGCAACCGTGAGCCTCCAGCATCCCAGCCGCGGCCTGTAATCAGCCCAGAAGGACATCCTACGGAAAGGCCAAAGGGCGGGATAATGTCCACGACTCCCACTGACATAGGATGCCTCTGTGTAACAGACACCTTGCTGTGCACTTGCAATATGTCACATCTTGCCCTTTAATACTCCATGAAGAGTATCACCTAATAATCATCCTGTGGATTATCAGTTAATCCAAAGAGAGGAAAGAAAACTTACCCAAGGGCTTGGCCAAAAAGGATACCACTGGTGTTTAGACAGGATTACTTTGAGATGTAGGCAAAAAGCACATTTCTGGATGAATACATATGAATAAAAGACAGCGCTTTACCTGTAGGCGCACTTTCCATCAGCTGTTTTGGTTGTAATAGTAACATGAGCCACATGGCTGATGCTGGCCAAAGCCTAAGGGAGAAAAGGAGACGGAATGAAAGAAAAACACACCGTGGGGTCACCCCGTATCATATCAGTAAGGGGACGCTTATCTAAACTGCCTCTTCCATTCTGTATTAACAAATGACAACAACAAGCACTTTGCTCACTCACTTTGATATGTTATAAAAAGAAAACGAATATCAAATTGAATCTGTAGCATAATCACTAGAACATGGGGGAAAATATATTAAAAAGTCCAAAAGGAAACACACCAAAGCATTAATGTGTTAACAGCAATTGAGTTCAGGTGTAGAGTACAGGCATGTTTAATATTCTTAATGATTTGTCTTCCAACAATTTTTAAAACTTGCCTTCGGAAATGAATAATAGAATCACTCCAAATAGATAATGTTGTATACTTTTGGTCAAAACTGTTTTCTGTAATTACATGATTAGAAATGTAAATTTAAAATTATGCAATTAAGACATAACAAATTAAAGAAAAACTCCATGACCATTTTTTCCCTTATAATCAAGATTGGTTTCCTAGCCCTTTGGAATCTGCATTGCCTTTCATCAGGTACTGTGCTGGCATCTGCGTGATAGCATCTTAGAAGACAGTGAACATAGCCCCTGGCTGGTTCAGTGCATTAACAATGAACATGGCTCAGGCTAAGACGTCACCAGGTTGTTGCTAGATTTCCCTGGTTTATGTAATTCTTAAATCTCTTTTAATCTACAGGTTCTTGCTCCCTTCTCTGCCTTTTCTCCTTGCAGTTTATTTGTTGAAGGAAACAAGTCTTTTATCATGTAGTTTCCCACTCTCAGTATCACTTACCATGCTCCCTTTGCCCCAATGTTTTCTGTATATTGTTACTTAGATCTTAAGTATTGATCAGATTCACATTTGATTTTTGGACAAAAAAACTTTGTAGGTGGTGTTGCATTCTTCCATCAATAGACAATAATATCTCGGGGTCTCTATAGCTGTAGTTTATGGTGTATTAAGTATTTATGAACAATTCTCAGTTTTGGCAAATTAAATTTAAGTTTGTTTAGATTTACATATATTTAACAAGCAAAAAGTATATCTTATTTATCTGTTGAGAAACATGCTGACAAATGGCAGAAGTGCCATCCCAGAAGAATGGTTTACACATTTATTTCATCCTTAGCTTACCTCACCCCGAAAGCCATAGGTAGAAATATTAGATAAATCCTCAAAGGACTGTAGTTTACTTGTAGTGAACCTCTCACACACAATATCCAGATCTTCTTTCTACAAGATACCAAAAAATAAGTACATAATTATGTGACTCATTTTTGCGAATCTTTTTGTTTTTGTTTCTTGGTGCTTTTTTTTAGCTGAGCCATCCTGCCACCTGTTGGCAACTCAGTGGCAGCTCAGCTCGGGTGGGAATCAAACTGGTGACCCTGTTGCTCAGAGCTCACACTCTTGAGTGAGCTCTTAACCAACTGAGCCACTCAGCCGGCCCCCAAATCTTTTTGAATGTACCTTTTCTTGATTGAATCCAAGAAGAAAACTCTTAGAAGAGGTTTTAAATTAGCAGTAACTTCCTCACCTGGCATCCAGGCTGCCACATTGACCTGGTGCTCCTTCTCTCACTTGTCTCATTTCTCAGTCTCATTTGCTAGTTCTGTCTCATCTCCTCTGACCGTGGAGTAACCCATAATTAACCCAGAATCTCACTACTTCTTACATCTTGCCCAAACTGGTCCAAGGTACCATCACCCATCTCCTGGACTGCTCCAGGTGCTTCCTCACTGCTGCTGACTTGTTCTGCAACAGCCTATTTTCCGCATTGTAGACAAGAGTTCTTACAAAACTTGCCAAACCATGTCACCTCGTTGTTCAAAACCCTCTAATAGTATCCCACCTTATTCAGAGTAAAAGCCAAAGATTTTACAACAGCCCACAATGTCCTACACGATCAGATCTCATTTCCTGTTCCTCTTCCATCCCTTACCGTGATCTAGACACGCTGGCCCCCTTGCTGGTCCTTAAACATGTCAGGCAGGCTTCCAGTTCATGGTTTTTGCATACATTGCTCTCTGTCCAGAACATTCACCCCTTAAACGGCCTCCTGACTCACCCCTTGACCTCCTTATTCCCCTGAACAATGCCCAGCACAGAATGGGTACTCAATAAATATTTATAGTTAGTGCTGAATTTTCCAGTCAAACAATCCCATCCACAAAAGCCCAGTTTCCAGAACAGGGAAAGGTTCTGCCACCTCCTGCTTATGTATCACGAGAAGCACAGAAACGTCCTGCTCCTCTGAGGTTTTACTTACCCTGATCCCAGTGCCATTGTCTTGGATCTGAATCAACTTCAGGCCTCCTTCTTTAACAACCACTTGAATACTTGTGGATTTTGCATCTAAACTAGCAAGTCAAACAGAAAAAAAAACTTATCTGTCTGCAACTACTCTAATGCATATATTTTAACATGAGTCAAGGAAAAAGAATACATTCCAGATAAATATAAGACTGTCTAATTAATATGTTTTTCCTTTGTCTTACAGGCTCTATCAGCTCACATACTGTGTGAGAGAGAGGGAAGAGAATGGCAAAGGGGGGTAACCATCATTTCCTCTAGAAGAGAAAGTGAAGTTAGAAGCAGTCCTTATATAGTACATGTCTTTTTCTTACCCTCTTCTCTACTAATTCTACCATCTGTTACTTGGAATTTTATTTGAACTCATTCAGGTTCCTAAATGACCCTAATAAAATGTCATTTAAAAAAAAATTCCAAATGTTTTTCTCTACTATTCCCTTTCCTTTAAAAAAATATATTTACGTTGAGCAACAGAAAAAAATAACAATGCAGAAAGTTTTTTAAGAAGCCAGTAAATCTTTTGTACTTTCAAAGAGTAGCTTCTGAGCATAGAGTGAGCACCTACTAGAGAAAACAAATTCAGCCTGGTGCTGCATGACAAAGAGGAGTTATCAACTCCTTACACAGAAAATTCTTTACTCAGAAAAAAGACAATAACTTACTTAAATATTTAAGACTTGCTCAGGAATTGAAGTTGTATTAGCCATCTTGACTTACATATTAAAAAGAGCATAAATGGATTCCAAAGTCTCTGCTTAATAGAAATTAATTAAAAGCCCCTGAGCTAGTGTTTAGTTTTGTTGTACAGTATACCCGGCACAGTACAATAATAGGCCCAAAGTGTTCTGTCAGTTAATTTTAACGTTGCACAAACAAAAGCCAGCCTCATAGTGAGTGAAGTCAAAGGAGAAACGGTTCCCAGCTCCTCCTTTTGCCGATCTCCTAATTCTCTTCCTTTCCCCGGGTTGTCTTGTCTGATCCCTGTTCTTTCAGTCCCATTACCCTGAATGGTTTACGTTTTCACAAATATCTCTTTACAAACCTACCATTCTTCGGTGGGGGTTTTTTTTTTCCTTTTAATGTATGATTCTTATTAGCATCAGTTGATTTTAACACAAAGGATGTGACATACCTTTAGATACGTTATGAACATTTCTTTTTCTTGAGGTTTACAGTTTACACCCACCTTTCCACGTTTTTAACCTCTTCCCTCCACATTTTGTGACAGTTCTAAACTTCAGAATCCATACAATCACCCATAAAATCAGGTACCGTCGAAGTGCCCTCCCCCCAAAGTAAAGGGCAGGAACTACATTAAGTGGGATCACTAATTCGACAATGGGAAAATCAAAAATTAAACCCAGATCAAGTACACCGGCCTGTCCTAAAATCTCGACAACTTATTTAGAATAAAACTCAAAATGGCTTGTACTCTTGAATGTGCATGATTTCTGGAATAAGCATGAAACTGATAAGGTACCCTCCGAAGGATGGAGATTTTTTTTTTTCTCCACCGAAAATTTTTATACATTTAAAATTTTGCACCTTCTGCAATAGAATTTCCCTCAGTTAAGGGCACCATTAAAACATTGTTGTGTACCATCCATCTACTTGAGCCCCCAATACTAGATGTCTCGCGACAGCGTTTAAAAACACGCCGCGGTACCCGGGAAGAGAAAAAGCGGCCCCGGAGGCCTCCGACGCTGTGGGCATGCGCCGCACACGCCTCCATCCAGGGCAAGGAGGCGTGTTCGCGCCTTCCCGAGAAGCGGCCCGTTAATTCGCAGCTTCTAAGGACGCCTGGCTCGACTCCCTCCGTACCAGTTCTCAATCATCTCCTTGATGGCATTAGCCGGCCGCTGGATAACTTCCCCTGCCGCGATGCGGTTCACCACTGTCTCGTCCAGCCGCCGGATAACGCCGGCTACGAGCGACATTTTGGCGCCAGAGGAGTCCAGGTCACGTCGAGATGCTCAGCGGAAGTGCCTTCAGCCAATCACAACAGAGCTTCGTGCTCACGTCTTAACCTCAACTCTGTTTACGCCGCCCCGCCCACCCCTTCCAGCTGCAGCGCCGCTTCCGAGCTAGGGAGCTATCGATTGGGCAGCTCGAATGCCAGTCAAGTTTCTCGGGTCCGTGAGTTCCTGGGTTTCTTCGTTCCTCCATAAAGTAGCTTCAGCGCGCTTGGTAGAAAGATCTGCGCCTGTGCGCTAGAAATCACTGGTCCGCTCTTCCGGCCAATAGGAGCGGAGGTGAGGTAGCGGGACGTTGGTGTCCCGATGCTGGGGTGATCTGGCGCAGAGCGGAGGAGGTGCTTGGCGCTGGCTCTTGCTCCGCCCCGCTCCCTGCGGCCGCCCGGAGGTTGGCCCCGCTCTTGTGCCCTCCAGTAGAATGTGGATGACACCCAAGAGGAGCAAGATGGAAGTCGAGGAGGCTCGGGGTTTTCGGCCCGAGTGGACCCAGCGTTTCTTGGTGGTAGAGCCTCCGGAGGGCGAAGGGGCCCTGTGCCTGGTCTGTGGCCACCTCGTCGTATCCCTCTGCGAACGCGACGTCAGGCGCCACTACGAGGCCGAGCACCACTACTACGAGCGGTATGTGGAGGAGGGCGAGCGCGCGGCCCTGGTGGAGCGTCTGCGTCAGGGCGACTTGCCCGAGATCCCCCCGCTCACTCCCGAGGAGAGAGCTGCTCGTGCAGGCCTCGGGCTCGCCCGCCTCTTGGCCTTGAAGGGTTGCGGCTGGGGTGACGGGGACTTTGTATACCAGTGCATGGAGGTGATGCTGAGAGATGTGCTGCCGGATCATGTAAGCGCCATCGGTGGCATTGATTTATCTCCAGACATCGTCCGGCAGAGGGTCCTGAACATTAACGAGAACCTACGCAGTCAGCTTTTTAACCGAGCCAAGGACTTTAAAGCCTATTCCCTTGCCTTGGATGACCAGGCTTTTGTCGCCTATGAGAACTACCTCCTGGTTTTTGTCCGCGGTGTGGACCAGGACTTGGAGGTGCAAGAAGAGCTTCTGACCATAGTCAACCTGACTCATCACTTCAGCGTCGGTGCCCTCATGGCGGCAATCCTTGAGGCCCTGCAAACAGCAGGGCTTAGCTTGCAGCGAATGGTCGGATTGACCACGACCCACACTCTGAGGATGATTGGTGAGAACTCAGGACTGGTGTCATACATGAGAGAAAAGGCTGTAAGCCCCAACTGTTGGAATGTCATTCATTATTCGGGATTTCTTCACTTGGAACTGTTGAGCTCATACGATGTCGATGTTAATCAGGTCATAAATACCGTGTCCGAGTGGATAGTTTTGATTAAGACAAGAGGCGTTAGGCGACCTGAATTTCAGGCTTTACTCACTGAATCCGAATCGGAGCACGGCGAAAGGGTTAATGGACGATGTCTGAACAACTGGCTTAGAAAAGGGAAAACTTTAAAAGTAATATTTGCCCTAAGGAAAGAGATAGAAGCGTTCTTGGTTTCAGTAGGGGCAACAACCGTCCATTTCACAGACAAACAATGGCTTTGTGACTTTGGCTTCTTGGTGGATATTATGAACCACCTTCGAGATCTCAGTGAACTGTTGCGAATCAATAAAGTCTTTGCGGCTGCTGCCTTCGACCATATTTGTACCTTTGAAGTTAAGCTGAATTTACTTCAGAGACATATTGAGGAAAAAAATCTAACACACTTTGCTGCCCTCAGAGAAGTTGTTGATGAGCTTAAACAGCATGTTAAAGAAGATGAAAAAATACTCGATCCTGATCGATATCAAGTGGTGATCTGTCGCCTACAAAAAGAATTTGAGAGACATTTCAAGGACCTCAAGTTCATTAAAAAGGACTTAGAACTTTTTGCAAATCCATTTAACTTTAAACCTGAATATGCACCTATTTCAGTAAGGGTGGAGCTCACAAAACTTCAGGCAAATACTAACCTCTGGAATGAATACAGAAACAAAGACTTGGGACAGTTCTATGCTGGATTGCCTGCTGAATCTTACCCGATTATCAAAGGGGTTGCCTGTAAAGTGGCATCCTTGTTTGATAGCAGCGAAATCTGCGACAAGGCGTTTTCATATTTGACTCGAAACCAACACATTTTGAGCCAGCCATTGACAGATGAGCATCTCCACGCGCTGTTTAGGATTGCCACAACTGAAATAGAGCCACACTGGGATGCTCTTGTGAGAGGAAGAAACCAATTGAATCCATAAGCCTTTGTAGTACAGCATTGAGACAGGAATCCACTTCTAAAAGCAAACATGTCTGATTTTTCAAGTTTACTAATTTGGATCATGGGAAAGCACCAAGTTCGTTCATCCCAATTAATCAAGATTCAAATTCTTCTGACTGTTTTTTTTTTCCAACTCAAGAGACAGCATGCAACTGAAACATGCGAACACCTGTTTTAGAACTTAATGACAAAGTCATTGTCTTTTGATTTTATGGTATAATTGTTTTTAAAGAGGTTTAGTGCTGATAATCTGAGTTGAATTAGAAGTATTTCGAAGAAATTTTTGCTTTTATTTTAACAAAGTGTTAAAATTCTGATGCACAGAGTCTGAAATTATTGTATCAACTTCTTAAATGTATGCTTAAGCCAATTTGCAGAAACTCTCATAGCAATTCAAGAGTTTCTGAAAAGGAAGAGCGTACATTCAGTGGAAGTATTTTGTCAAGCTATCAAAGTGTTTTAAAACTTTTTTTTTTCAACATTTCTGAGTCTGAGGTAAAGATTAAGATTGCCTCCCTCTCGCCTCCTCCTTCCCCACCCCAGCGATAATGATTATTACTAATAGAGGAAGTAATCAAATAAAATTTTAGAAGCAAGATTATTTTTAAATTGCTGGTTAGAAAACTTCCTGCAATTTGGAGATCAGAGTAACCAAATATTGGTTTGCCCCGAATTTTTCACAATTGGGTGCTGTTTTACCAGCTTGCCTATTAAAGGACTATGGTAAGTATAGACTCTTAATGATTGCCCATTAGTAATTCTTTTTTCTATTGTAGACAGAAGTTTGGCCTTGTCGATGAGGATGAGGAAAAAAGATTTTTCCACACAAGGATCAGGAGGTGTGAGATATTTTAGCTTATTTGTCCTATGTGCGTGGGTGTATAACTTGCTTTATAAAGAAACCCTGCTCAAAGGGAACCTTTTATTTTATAGTGATATATTATCAGATTTTGTTAGCTGCTGGAAATGAATTTATTATAGAATTTGAAACTGTGTCCCCCGCCCCCTCCCCATTCTGTATTTAAGACTGCACAGGTAGAAATATTTAACACTCTAGAAGGAGCTTTATTCACAGGTTGTAGCAATTTCATATTTCTTGTGAACCATCATCTGCTTTGTGCTAAAACAGTAATTTTCAAACTTAACGTTAACCATGAAAAGGGAATCTTACAGTAAAGCCAAATACGCAAAATGATTTAAAAACAGGACCCAACTTTAGATCCTCTTAAGTACAATCTGAAAACTTGTGCTAGAGTCCTGTCTTAACTATTGTAACACGTTATTCTGTGGTCAGTAATCCAGCAAATTCAAGGAACCAGGATACAACCAAGAATTTAGAAGGAGCTGATACCTGAGCAATGAAAATAGATGTCATGAGAGCCCAAGCACAAAAATTGTGTTAGTGGTTCTCAACCAGAGGCAGTAACCCCTTTTTCCAGAGGCTGTTAGGAAACAGGGGACTTTGGTTGTCACATTTACTGGGGCGGGGGAGGGGGGGTTCTGCTGGCATTTAAGTGCATAGGACAGCCTGGCACAATGAGGAATTATCCCTCTCAAAGTGCCAGTAGACCCCCAGTGTGTATTATTTTATTTTGAGGGACAAAGAAAATTACCGGTAGAAACAAAATTAGAAGTTCAGGTTGGGCAAACTGACAATGCTTGATAGAGGGAGACTAATTCCAACATTCTAAGTTTGGCTGGTAAGGTGCAGTAAAGGTCTTGATAGGTTCTGGTACCTCACAGTAGCATTTATAAGTCAGTAATTGATATTGAACCAGGTTAAAGGCTCTGTTCTGTTGTGGGTAATGAGTTGAAGGCAGAAGAGCAAGTGTTAAATATTAAGATACTTATCAAGAACGGTCAAGGTGAGATTTTGGTTATTAGGGAGTAGGCTTAAATGTTTGGAAAAACACAGTGAAAAACCAACCAAATGAAACTACCGGTAATTTCCCAGTGGTTTGGAGTATTCTCTGTCATGCAAGTGCTTTGTTGAAAGAACAATTGCAGACCTGAAAGCTGCTCTGCTTTCCAACCCCTGTTCCCTCCAAGTATTGAAGTATTGTGAAGTTCTAGTATATATTTTGCTTAAGTAATAATGAAATTAGTTTGCATCATATACTAACTGAGGGAGGGGGTTGGGGGTGGGAATATAAGCCAAGGATTTTAAATTCATCTCGAATAATAGAGAATTTACTATAAACTAGTCTTGTTTGTAAAAAAAGAAAAAAGTGTGTATTTTACTGTTTTCTGTATTAAGTAATTCTGTAACTGCATGGGAGTCTTGTTTTTTAAATATTTTTTATAAAATAGTTGTTACTGGTCCTGTTGTATCAGTGAATATAGTTAAAATAAGTACTATTTTTAAAAAGCTCTTTATCTCCCTGTATCTCCCATTCCTACTGGTTTTCTTGAAAGATGTGTATGTATTTGCAGTCTCCTGTATTACCACTCAAACTGCTCTCCCCGGCTCACAAAGTCCTTGTCAATATTTTTACCCTGTGATACCACTGACCACTTTCCTTGAAATACTTGTTTGCTTTGGCTTCAGGGAGATAACATCTCCATGTATGCTTGCTTAGTCTTCTTTGCAGGTACCTCTTTCCCTTAAATATCTGTGTTTTGGGGATTTTTAAACTTTTGAGACTATCTTCTTCACATCATCTCTTAGCTTTTCATCTGCCATGGCTTCAGTTACCACCTGTATGCAAATGACTCCCAAATTCGTATCTCCTTTCTATACCTATGCTAATTCATATATCTAATTGCTATCTTTGCTGTCTCAGGCACCACAGCATGTCGTTGGTGTTGCCCTCAAACCTGCTTCTCCTCTCATCTTCCCTCTTTTAGTAAATGGCAATACCACTACCAACCATTCACTTGCCCTTGCCCAAGCCAAAAACTGACTTATCCATGACTTCTCCCTCTTCATCCATCACATCTACTCACAAAATCCTTTCTGTTAAGTCTACTGTCTAAATTTTTCTCAACTCCCCAGTGCTACTATTCTTATTCAGGCCATCAACCTACCTAAGTGATAGCAACAACCTCCTGATTAGTTTCTCTTTCTCTGATTTTGTTCCCTTTCCACCCTACAGCCAGATTGTTCCAAAAGACATATCTGGTCATGTCACTCCACTGCTATCACTATATTCTTAGGATAACACACAATTTCTATTCATCTTTCGGGTCTCACTTTATATACCACTTCCTCTGGGAAGCCTTCACTGATGCCCTCTAGACTAGGCGCCCCTACCACACACTCCCTAAATACCCTGTTCTTGCCCAACCATACACTTAACACACTTTAATGTTACTTCTCATTAATCACTGCTAGACTGTAAGCTTTGTGAGGGCAGGGACCATATTATTATGCCTTGCTCACTGTTCTATCTCTAGTGCTTAGCACGATGCCTGGCATTTCAATAAATGTTTGGATGAATAAATGTTTGTGTAGTGTTTTATACTCTTTGAAGCCCTTTCACAGTCTTATTTCCCTTCACAGTGGTCCTGCCTTAGAGTGCTCGCTGGGTAATTGTTATCCACATATTACAAATTAAGGAATGAAACTAAGTTCTTTGTGACTAGGCATCTCACTGTGTTCCCAGAATTGAGCTCAGTGCTTGTACTAAGTAGTAAAGCCAAGATTCAAACCCAGGTATACTCACATAAATCCACTATGTAATATTAAGTCTTTATCACTTTGATATAAAGGCTTAATTTTTTAATTGCCAAAGTCAGACATCCAAAAGAACTTGGATGAAAAAGATAAGAACAACTGTTTAGTGGACTAAAACAATAATTAATTAGAAAGTTACATTCAGTATCAGAAAAAGATAGTGCTGCTTAAGAGTTAATATCCATTTTCCTCTTGTCAGCATCAACTGTAGGAGAATATGGCATACTCATACTATTTACAGATGGTTTCTGATCTTCTGGGATTTAAAAGTAAGTAAATTTAACAAAATGTTAAAAGGAATGACTCAGTCAGCCCTTCTGGTCACTAAATTTTCAGTTCACTTGCTCTCCTACCTGCAGACTGTCCTCATCTTCTTCCCAAGGAAGAGGACCCAAAAGTGACATCTGGTCAACACGTACTTCCTTGATTTGCTGTATTTCTTTGGTTTCTTGTTTGCAAGCCTCTCTGAACTTAATTTCTGGGTAACTGGAACCTTCAGACTTCATGGGAGAGCCACGCCTTTAGTCTCTCTCACTGAGCCATTTTGTCCAATTGAAGGGATTCACCAGCATTATACTCTTAGTTGGATTTGAGTCTGAAGCACATTAACTCAGAGATCTTAACAGGTGTGATTGTCATCCAGTGATTCCATCCTTGCTGCAACACTGGATTTTAATCAAACTGGATTAAAGCATTTCTCATGTTTATCTTTTTGTAATTGAGAAGTAGCCTTATCCTACTCAATGGGTAATGGAATTCGTGAACTCTGTTCTCTAGCATTTCTGGTTGCAAATTGATGAATTCTTTTCTGAGTTCATCTCTCTCCTGTGCATTTTGTCAAATACAACCCATGGCAACCATAAAATATTTTTTTCTTTTTTAGTAAAGGGTACATTTTCTGCTTTCCAGCTTCTCTCAAGGGACAGTTCTCACCCATCTGTAACTTGAATTGCCCCTCCGTAAGTTATTTCTTCCATCTTCCAATAGCAGTGTCCTGAATGCCTGCCAACCAAGCCAATGTTCAGTATTTTAGGCTTTTTGAAAACTGAATCAGTTTCTGTATCAGGATAGGTTAGGTTGCCATACAGTAATAACCCCAAAATCTCAATGTCTCACACAACTTTTCTCTCCCTTGGGCAGGGACTTTGCTGTAGGTCAGGGGTCAGTCAGGCAAATCTGCTTGTTTCTGTAAATAAAGTTTTAATGGAAGACAGCCTTGCCCATTTACTTGTGTATTGTCTGACTGCTTTTCTCTATAATCACAGACTTGAGTAGTTGTGACACAGTATATGGCCCACAAAGTCTAAAATATTTACCGTGTGACCCTTTACAGAAAACATTAACTGATCCCTGCTCTGAGTTGTCCTCATTCTGGGACTCAGGCTGACCAAGGGGGTACCATATAGGGTGAGGCTGCTCATTTTGGGAAATGAAGAGTGTGGCACATCACTCACAGGCTCTTAAAGCCCTTTCATTGGCTAAAGTCACTCGCATGGCCACACTGAAGTCTAAGGGGCGTAATCCTTCCACATGCCTCAGAGGAAAACCAGAAACACTCTGAAGACAAAACCACTGATTAACACATGGTTATGGCTCTCAATTTAGAGAATTTCTTTCAAAATATTTCTTTTTTATTGAGATAAAACTTATATTCAATAAAATGTTCAAATATTAAGTGTATATCTCTGGATTTATGTGTATACCCTTGAACCCATCACCCAGATCAAGATACTGAGCATCTAGCATCCCAGTAGGTACCCTGTGTCCCTCCCACACAGTTAATCACTATTCTGAACTTGATCACCATGGATTACTTTTGTCTGTTTTAAAACCTAATGTAATAATTATATGGACTCTTGTGTCTTTTGTTCAACACTGTGTTGCATGTAGCAGCAGTTCATTTTTTACTTCTGTGTAGTATTCCTTTGTATGACTTTATCACAATTTATGAATCCATTCTAGTATTGGTAGAAATTTTGATTGTTTCCAGTTGTGGTTATGAATAAAGTTGTTATGGACATTTTTGTATCTGTCTTTCAGTGAACATACGCACCTATTTCTGTTGGTATCCTCGGGTGTATACCCTGCTCCCATACTTTCCACATCATATTCACACAGCAACCAAAATGGTCCTTATTTATTTATTTTTTTTAGTATAAATCAGACCATGCCACTCCTCTGCTCAAATTCCTCCAATGGCTTAGTTTCCAATCAGAATAAAATCCAAGGCCTTTTATCATGGTCTACACGGTCCTGCAGGACCTGCACCCACATGTACCCTTGCACACACCGTTTTCTTCCTGCACCATCTTACATCGTATCCTCGAGCCCTTTGCCTGTTCCCCTCACTGCTCCACTAGACACTGCTTATACATTGGGAAATCAAGGTAAATGATTTGACCCTATCGGTAAAGAGGTGGTAAGCTACACAGACAATTTTAACATAAGCCATAACACTAGCTAGGGCTATGCTGAATCACGCAGCGGAACCAGAACAAAAGCTATTTCCTGACCCCGTTCCAGTGCCTTTCCCACTCTGCCATTGCTGTCATTACCAGTTTGTCCCTATGTTTCCATTCCGGAACCCCCTGTTTGCCAGGTGGAAGGCCCCAGAGTTCTCACCGTCTTGCCTTTTGGTTCTGCCTAGCAGTGGCTGAGATGGGATCTGTCATTCTGTTAGATATTTACTCAAAATTATAAAATTTTCATACTTAAATATGTATTCTCAAATAGTTTAAATAGTACGCATATTACCTGTTTCTAGAGGGTCTGAAAAAATGGAAAGGAATGGACAAGTGCCACATTAGGCAATTGACGATTTTTCTTTTTTCTTTTTCTTTTTTTTAAATTTTATTGGGGAATCGGAGAAAGGGGAACAGACACGTTGCTGTCTTTTGTTCTTCAGTCTAGTTGTGGAGGACGTCGCTTCACTGGCCCATGTTGGTATTATCATTGTGCTCTTCCCGGGTGAGGCAGATCGGTCGCCAGCCACTGGCCAGCCGCTCGCAGTGGCTCTTGGCAGCTCACACTGGCTGTCAGCACACTCACTCCAGCTGCTAGCCACTCACGGTAACTTTAAGGCAGCCTCACTGCAGCCTATTGCCATCACAGCGACTCACGGCAGCCCAGCTCCAGGTTGAGCTGTTGTTCACCATCTTAGCTGTAGAAGGCGCAGTGTTACTGGCCTCATGTGGGATCCGAAATGGGGCCCTGCTGCTCAGAGCTGGCGTTCCAAGCCAGCTCTTAACCAACATGCCACTTGGCCGGTCCTTCCCAGTATTGTTAATGCTCAGATTGGCTAATGGGTTTGGATGGTTACAGCCTGATTGTGCTGTGTCAGGTTCCCTATCAGTCTTTTACCTGGTGGTTTTGATCCATAGTTCATGGTTGCCTGAATCTATTATTTAATTAGGACTTGCAATATAGTTATTTTTCTGGCTCTATCATTCCTTTTACATTTATTAACTAAAATTCTTCTATAAAGGAGAACTTTCCTTATTAACTAGAACTATTGGGTTACCTTGAACTATAGTTTGAAGCAGACATGCAAAGGAGTGACAGATCTGCGAGGGTAGGAATTTATTTTGCTTTACTGATGAATCGCCATACCCAGACCAGTGCCTGGCACTAGCAAGTTTTGATTAGATATTGATGAATACAGAACAAATGCTCAGTTCTTCCCCTTTAATTACTAATTTTTGGAGTTGGGAATTGGTGTCTCTCCTCTTTTTTATTTGTGGACTCTATATTTTAATACAAGCTTTTATTTATAAACCTATAGACTTTAATATTTTTAATTGTTTCAATCAGTTTGCGGTCATTATTCTTTTCGATGCTCCTGTTGCCTCATTCTTGACCATTGGGAGCTTCTTTGCCTTGGCTCCTGTATCCCCCGCTGTGATCCTTAGTCTTTGGTAGCTTCCATGCATTTCTGCATAAGACAATCCCAGCCCATCTCTACATTCCAACTATAAAGCATTGTTGAAAAATTAAAGGTCTTCTCTCCTTGGGGGTAAATCTTCAAGTAACTTTTTCTAAAAGTGAACATAGGTAGTATAATTGTTTTTATCTCTACATTTCAAAACGTATATTTCACATAATTTTCTAGGATATATCTAGGTATGGGTCTTTCTACTAATATTCTTTTCCTATGGAGTGAACTATTTATCCAGTTCATCGGGTGGGAAATTGGGCTGAAGAAGGGATGTTTTAAATACAGGTTTTATTTTTATTCAGGTATGGTGAGGCCAACAGATCAGGAGATGACGGCCATTTAAAATATAGTTTGTTTCTCTGTCTGCTCTCCCCCTTTCCCTTTGGGGTCGGTAAAGCAAGTATGGAAAACGTAATGTGGTGTTTATACTATTCTCGGTGCTCTGATGTGTGTCATTTTTTTTAAAAGACTGATACTCATTTCTCGTGAGCATGTCTGCTTGTAACAAAACAAGGACAGCAGGTCATGCTGACTGGCATAGCCCCCTTAGCCTGTGTCACGGACCACAAAAAAGGAAATGAGAGATTGCAGATGTAAGCTTTCTACAGCTGGACAGCATCACACCAAGACAAGAGACAGTTCAGGATGGTGGCATGGCTCAAGAGGAAGGTTGCTTGGAGAACAGCCGGCCTCAGCATTATCTTTGGTATCAGTGAAAAGCTGGTTTCCCTGGCAACAAGGCCTACTTAATGAATGGTGCCGGGAAGCAGGCATGAACGTGTCCGTAGCAAGTGTACACAGAAAAAGAACGCCTCCTCACCAAATACTCGCTTTTAGTCTGCATATTTAGGTCTATCGATGGTTTATTTAAAAAATCAGAAAATGCCAAAAGACATAATAAAAAGCTGTGGTGCTCGCTCTCCCCTCCTCCTTCATTGCTATGCCCTGGTAATAACCACTTGTGATCTTTTCTTATATTAGTTCTTTTGGTTTCCTATCTCTCTATATTTCACTATCTCAATTGATCAACTCTAAACATTGTCTCTTTATTGCCTATCATGATAAATAAGCACTTAGTGAATTTATACCACCCAATTTCTCCTTTCCTTCTTTTTGCCTCTCTTTTCCATAATTGTGTCGGTTTTTGTTCTGTTCATTACTTTTGCAATTTAGATCCTAGTCCTAAACTTTTTGTGTTTCCTCTGTCAGTTTTCACTGTGTCTCTTGGCTCTGCCCCGGCCTTTCCCTCCATCCCTGCTCCCACCTCTTAGTCCCTTGGAGCATCAAGTGGGGTTAGGGTTAGGGGACTCCACCTTTATATTCACATTGTCAAAGATGAAAAAAGTTATAACATTCTGTTTAGAAACCACACTTGGTCTCTAGGTTGATGATAGAAGTTTAAAATTAATAATAAATTGTTGTGACATATTACATTTTCTCCTGTACTTATTATACTGTCATGAGCCTGGATCCCTCAAAGGACAATGTTCCTAGCAAATCATCAAATAGATTCTCTTAAACTACCGTAGTTGCTCAAATTCATACCCCTTTTTTGTTTGCTTCAAATTTCTATCATAATTTTACTGTCTTCTTGGAATTTTTATTGCCCCTCTACCCCCTTCCCCAGCCCAAATTGGGAAAAGTAAAAGTTTTTTCATCAAAGCACTAATAATTTTTTTTTTCATTGTAAAATAGCTCAGGGTCTATTCTAGAGTTCTTAATTACACGTTTTTGGAACCCATTGACCTCCTACTTTAGACAGATTTCTTTCAAAACCTGCTGCAAGCTATTATCTTGGGACTTCTTGTCATTAGATTAACAAGGTTAGTTCTATTATTTCTTGTTTTCTACATACTACTCACACTTGATTTCCTGGCCAACATCTTCAATTATCTCCTTCAGAAAAGGTACGTAGTAGATAAACACTCCGAATCTTTATAGGCATAAAAATGGCTTTACTCTGTCATCAATCTTGCTGGCTAGCTTAGCTAGGTATAGATTTCTAGTTTCAAAATTGTTTTTCCACAGAACTTTGAAGATGTACTCCACTCATTCATAAAAAATTTTATTGTGAAATAGGACACATATACAGAAAGGTACATAAACACAAATGTGTATCTTAATGAATTGTTATAAAGCAAATACCCTTATAACCACCATTTAGGCCATAAAATAAAATTTTGTCAAAACCCTAGAAGTCTACACCACCACTCACCACCCCCAGCTCATATGCCCCTTTCCAATCACAATGCTGCCCTTCCCTCTTAGAAATATCCACAATTCTGACCTTTATGAATACAGCTTTCTTGCTTTAAAAAATAATGTTACCACATAAGTATGCAACTCCAAACACAGAGTCTAGTTTTGCTTATTTTTGAGCTTCATATAAGTAGGATGATACAGTATGTGTTATGTCTGACCTCATTTGTTCAACACTGTATTTTGAAATTCATATATGTTGCATGTAGCTGTAGTTTATTTTCATTGCTGTATAGTATTCCACTGGATGAATCTAACACAATGATTTATCTCTTCTATTGATGAATATTTAGGTTGTGTCCAGTTTGGGGCTATTGTAAATAATGCTGCTATAAACATCCTTAGGCATGTCTTCTGGTGCTAATGTGTAGAATTTTTTACTGTTGTCCTACCAGTTACTGATAGGACATTGTTAATGTTGTGAATAGCATTGCGAATTTCTCTTTGTGGGTCTGACAACTTTTGCTTTACATATATGGAGGCAGTTATTTGGCACATACACATTTAGAATTGTTCATTTTTCTTTCTTTCTTTTTTAATGTTTGGGAAACACCACATACTTTTTTCTTTTTTAAGATTTTATTGGGGAATTGGGGGAGGGGAACAGACAAGTTGCTGTCATTTGTTCTTCAGTCTAGTTGTGGAGGACGTTGCTGCACTGGTCCATGTTGGTATTATCATTGCGCTCTTCCCAGGTGAGGCAGATCAGTAGCCGGCCTCTGGACAGCCGCTCACGCTGGCTGCCGGCCATACACTGTAGCTTATGGCAGCCCACTGCAGCAGGGGCTGCAGCCTTCGCCATCGCCGGTGACTCACGGCAGCCCAGCTCCAGG